TTGCCTACACAGGCGCTCGTTTTCGACACTTACGTGGCTGGCAAATGCGGGCTATGCCACAGCAGCTTCAGGGTGGTATCCCTTCTAGACAGATGTCCGCTATCCACACCCACCTCGCCCTTACGGTTGAGCAGGCCAAATTCGAGGGTACGCCGTTAATTGGCATCAAAATCGACAAGGCCAAGTGTTTTGACCGCATCATTCCCCATTACGCCGGTGCCCTTATGCTTGCCTTTGGGGTTGCAAAGTCCATTGTTGCGGTGTTTCTCAAATTGTATGACCAACTTGATAAGCATTTGCAGTTCAAATCATGGTTCGCACCCCAGGCCACGCATAGCCCCAATGGTGTAGCCCAGGGGTGTTCGCTATCCCTGGTCGCGATTAATGTCCACATGAAAGCCTGGGTCCACCTGCTAGCTGTCCTCCCTGAGGTAACAGCTCAGGCATTTGTTGACGACGCCTACCTTTGGGTCAAGTTAATCCACCAGAGCAAACTCGACCTTGCTATCCAAATCACGCAGGCATGGGACGCTTTAGTAGGCCAAGCCATGAACTGGAGTAAGTGCAAAGTATGGGGATCCACAGCGGCAGCCCGGAAATCTGTTCGCTCCCTGTTCCCGCAAATGCAATTTGCTTTAGAACTTGAAGTACTCGGCGTCCAGATCCAAACCAGCGATAAGCTTACCACACACTTTGGCGAAAAGAAATTTGCCAAAATCATCGCCGACATCAAAAACATTGCTGTTTTGCCCATCCCTTTGCGCCAGAAAGCACGGCTCCTAGGGGCTAAGGTTATCCCTCAATGTTCGTATGTCGCTGCTTTGAACCAGATTCCTGGACGCATGATTGCGCGCATCCAAGCTGAGATTGTCAACGTTTTTTGGCACAAACGACCTCACTGGAGATCAAGGTTTTTGGTCTTAGCTTTGCTCACACAGCCACACCGTGTCGATCCTGTCTGTGCTCGCCACTACAATGTCATTCTCGACTGTTATAGATACTTGCAAATGTTTCCGAGCGAGCAGACCCGTTTTCGAGCTCTGTTGGGAAATGACAGCCATCAACGTGCCACCATTACTCAGTCCCTTCGCCAGGCTTTTCGGTTCTTCAGTTTCGACCTTGCTCCGTCCGGTCTCATCTCGTTTCGTGGTCGGCCGGTCGTTGATTTTTTGGCATTGTCCCTTAAAGACGTCAAACCCATGTTGAAGCAAATGGCAGTGCAGGCGTGTTACGCCCAAGCCTCGCTGCAATCCAGGAAAGACTTGCAAGCACCCGCGGGTGTCATCGACCCGCATCTTTCGCGCCTTTTTCCCCGGAACGATTCCGCTGAAACTTCAACAGAGGAAGTCCCCATGCATGCTTATTTTGAGGCTCAACTTGTTGGCTGCGTACTTACCAATGATCGGCTTGCAGCAGCTAAGTTAATCGATGAGCCCAATTGTCGCATGTGTCATGCTGCCAAAGAATCACTCCCCCACCTCGTCAGAGAATGTCTGGGCATCCGGGATGAGAACCCTCCGCCGGTCGCTCATGATCTTGGTCGTAATTTTGAACTTTTGGGTATCGTTGAACACCCTTGGTCCGTTTTTCGTGCACGTTGCCAGGTCTCTGATCCCACGAATGTCAAGACTCCTGTTTGGTCTCCCCCTTTTCAGATGCATGAACTTTGGACAGATGGGTCGGTGCAATGGCCCGAGCACTTCCTCATCACATGTGCTGTGTTTGCCGTCGTGAACTGCACCGGGGATGTCATTTCGTCGGGTCCAGTACACCAATGGGCCTTGAGCAGTTACACTGCCGAGCTGTGGGCGGCTTTTGTTGCCTTCAGTGAGTCAGCTCAACCAGTTCAGATCAACAGTGATTGCAAAACACTTGTTGACCACATTCACACGTTCGTGCAAAAACAACACGTTGAACCAAGTTGGCCACACCAACCTTGGTGGCACGCTCTTGCTACTACGTGGAAGGAAAGGAAGTGCGTGTGTGCGGTACCCCTGGGTGCCAAATGGATTCCCGCTCATAAACTAGAATCCATCCCAGAGCAAATGATTGACGAAGACATGGCACGGGCCAATCAATCCACAGTCATTGACATTGTGCACAACCGTAAGGCCGACCACGCTGCTAAAAGAGCAGCACTGACACATGCCTTGATCGATCCTGCCCTCTATGACACTCTTTGCCATGCCGTCAAAGATAGGCATGTTTGGTTGGCACAACTTTGTAAGCTGTGTGGCCAGGAAACAGCTGCCTACTCAGAAGACACGGACAACGAACGCCTTGATGATAACCAACCTGCTCACGTATTGTTCCCCCTGCTTCCTTGGAGGGCTCAGGAAAGTGACTATCCTGCGCAGTTCGGGAGTTGTTGGCCCGTGCAACCACCGAGAGGATGGAAATCCACTGTTGATGATTGGTCCCAGTTTGGTTGCTTTATCTCGAGCCTTCGCTGGCGGGAACAAGCTGATCTGCGCATTTCGTACAATGAACTTGCCATTCTTTTTGTGTACCGCAAATTCAAGTGTCAATGCCTTAAAGATGAGTTCTGCACCTATGCGCAGCTCACTGGGTGGTTAAAAAATGCTTTTGCTGTGTGCCGCCGGCACCTTAACCTAACCTTGTTTCCAGGTGAACACGCTGGACATGTTGCCCACACTTGGGGTAAATCTATGCCACCAGGATCCATTTGCGGTGGACGCCCCTTCGTGTCGGATGACGAACTAAATTTCCTGGTGGTCATTTCGAAGCGTATTGCTGGATCGTCGATGTCGCAATGGTGCTTTCCGATTAAGGATGTTGTTGTGTGACTTCTTTTTCTTGTGTACAGTGGACATTTTCGAAAGCCATGCAGTGGAATGCTGCTGGCTACGCGTGAACCAGATTGGGAGCTGATCGCGCGAGTGAGGTAGAAGAGGTTTTACAATCCATGTCTGGGGCTGTTTGATCAATCCAGAGTCTACATTCGTCGATACCCATCAAGGCCTATACAAACAATAGCATATATACGTATATCGCCAACATTCTCCTTGGCATTTTACCTCATGTGATCCCCTCTTTCTCCTCGTACTGGGTGCTCGGGTTAACTTGTCTCGAATGGCATGAACTTGTGCCAGATGAGGTGTGCCCTTGGGGGAAAGCTTGATTGGGCTAAGTTTTTGTATGTATGTTGTTGTTGATCACAGGTTGAGAATTCGACCAAACCGCAAGGGCACACTGTTGATTCTGTCTCAAGTTTATTGTACTCCCAAGTGCGCCGTTGCCATTTTATGTTTTTGGCTTCACTACATTGTGATTAGGTATTTTTCAACAATCGTTGCGAAACGGTGTCCCCAAGCAGTTTTGTGTCTAGGAGTGTAGACGATCATTGTTTGGTCATTTCATACTATGTATTTGTTTTTTTTGGTGACTAGTGCTTGGAATACAACCAGCCTCAAGTTGCGCTTCCCAACCAATGTTGGGACAGAAAGGGGGCAGGCCTCATTTGCCTCGTGCATTTGTTTCTACATACTGGGTGCCTGTGTTTACCCCTATCATGATCAAGATCTCGTATGGAAGCCGGTGTGCCATTGCGGGGAGCAATCAAAGCAGTGCAAACTAGAAGAGATGAGCAACATACTTCTCCATCTTATTGATGCCAGATCTGCGTGGCACACTGGCTTTTTTGCGTTCACACTGCAATGTGAAACCAGTATACCATTGGGGTGAGCTATCGAATAGCTATGAAATTGAACTTGTTTCTAGAGGTTTCTTTTGTCAACCCATAGTTGAAGCCTTTTCGAGAAGGCCCCATCTCCATCAAAGCGGATGAGCGAGGAGCAGTCTGATTAGTGTTTTTGAGAAGTCGTTGCGAAGCGTGTCCCCACACAGTTGCGTGTCTAGGGGTGGAGGCGTTTGTTTGGTAATCTATGGTAATCAATATATGTCGGGCTTGCTGCTGGTTTTCTGCTGCTGCTGCCGCCTTGCTGCTGCTGGTTGGCTACTGCTGCTGCTGGCGGTTGGCTGCTGTTGGTTTGCTGCTGGTTGGCTGCTGCTGCTGCTGCTGCTGCTGGCTGATTGCTGCCGGTGCTGCTGCTTGCTGCTTGGTTGTTGCTGGTGCTGCTGCTTGCTGCTTGCTGCTGCTTGTCGCTGCCGCTGCTCCTACTCATTTGCTGCCTGTCATTGTCTTGCACGCCCTATGATTATAGCAGGTTTCTTCCATTGCAGACTGGGTATTGGAAACATGATTTCAAGCTTGGTGGCAGGCCTGTTTGGTGAAACGCGGTGCCTCCATGCGGAAACAAGTATCGCAAGGACGTTGCCGTGACTTAGTCGTGGCGTGGTGTCCCAGTATATGACTGGTTGCCACAGCTGCGTTGCGTTGCAAGGACTTTTGTGTTTGGGTGTTAGTGGGCATGGGTCTTCTGGGCAAACGTGTTCATCTCGCCCAATACCTCGAGGTAGGAACTTAAAGGTGGTGCCAACATGTGGGTCAGAGGTGTGCCATGGGGGTTGGACCATGGCAGCCCATAGGAAACCTTAGAACCCATCAACATGTAGAAGATTGAATCGCAATGGAATGGTGTAGTTTTAGAAACAATCTAGGCTAGGAGAACAAGTGCTTGTTCCGAAGCGGTGTGCCATGGGGATTGGGAGAGGAAAACACGCAAGAATGACTAGATATATGTTTGACGTTCCATGCTGCTTGCGCTCTATGTAGAAACTGAAAGCTGGTACCAACATGTGGGTCAGAATCGGTGTGCCATGGGGATTGGATCACGGCAACCCACAGAGAACCTTAGAAAACATCAACATGTAGAAGATTGAATCGCAGTGGAATCGTGTAGGTTTAGAAACAATCTAGGAGAAAAAGTGCTTGTTCCGAAGCGGTGTGCCATTGTGTTTTCCAAATGGGGTAAGTTCTTACATTCGCGGGGTAAGCGGTGTGCCATGGGGGTGGGTCAAGTTCATGTGCGATGGGGTAAGTTAGCACGTCGGGTCGTACCATCGCCAATGTCACCGAGGCTCAGCACCTTGGGCTTTGGAGTCTTTCAGGCGGGCAGACCTGGGCTCCGAGACCTCCCGCTTGGGGAGAAACGGGTGGTAGAGGAATAACCGAATCACCGGGTGGATGACTTCTTCTCCAAAGCCTTGAAGGTGGTGAAGTCATGAAGGCCTTGAACTAGCTTCATAGTCTCCGGAGCGAGCCGGAACGGCCCACATGGGGTCTTTTCAGGTCATTGAGGTCTCTCTATTTTGCTGAGAGGAGAGAAACCTCCAGATGCTGCAAAGCACCCCAAAAGAGTCCCAAAACTAGGTGATTTGGGTGGCCAAATCAAAAAACATGGGTCGTATCTGGCGCCAGCTTCAGCCAGCTTCAGCCTGGGAGACTGGGAGACTGGGACGAAGGGGACGACGAAAGGACTGATGTCCACCTGTGGCCTGCTTTGGGGGGCAGTCCCTCTTTGAAGTCGGAGCCATGTAAAAAGTAGAGCGGAAAAAAGCAAAGAACGGTTTCAAAGTGGTGAAGAGATATGCCCAGTTGGCCAGCGATAAGCGAACAGCTCAGACAGCGCACTCGACAGCTGGGCTTGCTCGACAACTGCTCGACGGCTCGTGAGTTCCGCGGAACGAACGCACCGCCCCCACGACGTCGTCTGAAAAGCCCCTTTTTTTCCGATAGCAGTAACAAGAAGCTACTAGTAACAAGTGCCACGCTAGTAGGAACAGGTAACAAGATCCTGTTAACATGTGTTCTGTTTGTTTTCATGATTCCTCATCGACCGCTGCCATGATTAAGGAATGAGAGTGGCTGGGTCCAAAGGAATTTCTGTTGGAGGGGCCTGCTTTTTTCCCTCATTCCCCACTGGCGTCGCACCAATCTGTCATGGATCCAAAAGTTGAGAACCTCCAAGAGTGGAAGCTAGTGAACACAAAGGTCCACAACATGCACCTCGGGCTTTTGGGTCATCAAGATTTAGTCACCAAAACATGTCAAAGCCACTGAACATGCAAGCGACCACAGCAGTGTCACTTGCCCTTCTCTTTCAAGGGCTTCCAAACATCGAAAGAAAGTGGTGCGAAAACAATCACATCTTCACTTCCGGTGCTTCGGATGCATCGAGATGGATCGATTAGAAGCTGCAGCACCGTGTCACTCGGTGCATCGGGTCAGGCCAGGGCAGAACGCCTCTTCCCAGATGTGGAGGTGGGCGAAGACGGCGAACCGAGTGCCAAGCTTGGGAGAGGTGTTGGTGAAATTGATGGAGACTCCCAAGGCCCGGCTTGACTCGATGTCTGTTTATCTTTGTCTTTATTGCTAATTAGGGGATGGAACTGGAAAGTCTCTCTATTCTAACACACGCAGCCTGATCTAATTGAGGGTGTGTACTCCAACAAGCGCATTTGCCACGGAAGTGGGGTCCGCAAACAGCTCAGCAAGTTGGGGAATCCTACTGTAACTTTCGGATGACTTTTGCAGGACATCCATTGGTTTTTCCGAGGTAAAGAGTGGTTTGCTTGTCGTCAACGCCTTACTGAAGATCTGCAAAGGGTTACAGGGGGGTTCGACATGAACGGCTTAGCACCTTTCAGATCCTGGTACGTTGGCACGAGATTGGAAGTTCGCTCGGGCTGGGTTTCAATTCTGCCCTGTCTTTTTTCTTGTTTTCCACCCTGTGTGGACCTGGTGGTTTCCGACGAGTCTTGCAGGGGTTTCGTTTTTTGACTTTCAGGGGTTTCTTTTCTGCCCTGCAGCCGGGGTTTCTTTCCTGCCCTGCAGGGGTTTCTTTCCTGCCCTGCAGGGGTTTCTTTCCTGCCCTGCTTCTGCCCGGACTATGTAGAGCAACCTGGGCGACTGCAATGGAAGTTTCCTGTTTTTATCACGAGCAGATTTTTCGTCAGTCACGCCTATTCATGGTTGTGAGCATTCAGGATAGTGTTGTAGTCTTCGGTCCAAAATCACCACGTTAAGGAACATGCACGATCTTTATCGAGTGAAATGAAGTAGTAAGGGTAGTATTGATGTGGGGTTGCAGTCTTTTCACAGCTAATTCTGTGTACTCACTGCAGTCGACGAAGACTCCTTCCAAAACTGTGCCTGTCCTGGATGTTTCTTCCGTTTGTTCTCGACCATGAGCGTCGTGGACGCCGCCTGCAACGGCTTTTGGGGTGGAATGAAGTATATAGAGCACATTTGAGGCGTATTCAAAAAGATCTCCTTCCTACTTGTGGGACCGTGGTTCACGTGCGACTCAGAGCACAGCACGAACGAAGTGAGGTGTCGCCGCACTACTGACCGGGGATCGGGCGAGCGCAGCCGACTAAGCTGAGATGCAAGTTTGATGTCCAGGCTCCAAGCAGTTAAAGCGCCACTGGAGCACCGAGTGCCAAAGACACAGCGAGAAGTTTGCAAGCAAGATGCGATGCCGCCGCATGCTACTGCTAGCTGGAATACCGTTGCTGACCCAAAATTGTCCGGCTTGAAAGACCAATATTTTAACAGCAGTCTGTCCATCTACTCTGTCTTTGTCTTGACTTTAAAGTCTAGTGTCTCGCTGTCGCCGCAATGGAGCTGCTTGGCCGACGGGCGTGCATCGCAGGCGCTGACGCGCACGAGCTCAGCACCCTGGCTGTGCGACTGGATGGATTCATGGTTCTTGGCAAAAGCCGCTTGGCACGAGTCATTCTGATGCAAGGTGGGACACAATTGAAGCGCTGTAGGTGACATGCGGATGTTGATGTGGATTAGAGAGTTCTTTGTCCAGCTCGCAGAACGCCAGAGGTCTAGCAGAGTTTGGAGCGTTCCTGCCGACATGGCGCCGAATCGAATCCAGGCTGGACGCAATCATGCGCGTCACCGCAACTGTAAGTTGTTGCTCGTCATTGTTGTTCGTTCTACAGACCGTCTTTGTGGGAGGAGACACATGCGTGGACAATACCGAACGGGTATGTACCGGCTGCTTGTTCTTGCAGCTTTGTTGCGTGAACGTTCAAGACTTCGAGCTGGTAAGACTCACCTAGTGCAAACATACAGACGTTACTGTGATGTCGGAACGCTGACAGAGCAGGTGTGCACGGAAACAGCAGCTCTTCCAGCGCAGCAGGAGCAACCGATGCGCGCGCGCAAGAGAAAGAATTCGTTTTGGTTTAATGTGCTGGATGTCCATAGTCGAATGCAACAGTTCCAGGAAATCAGCGTGAAACGCGCCCTCTATGCAAGAACCGTTTTCCATGTTTGTCGAGATGCTTGGTACAGGAAAGGTGGCGTCCCGTTCGCGCAGTGTGGGGTTCCATGGATACTTGGCAAGAAGTAGTGGGTGGAGGAACGGTGTCTGGCGGAAGAAGAAGAAATAGAACCCGCACCGCAGGTGCCGAGGCTAGATAGCATATAGCTTCAGCTTTTGCTTGGAGGGGAGCATTTTTTCCAGAGATGGTCGTGAATTTGAACATTTTTAAAACGGACTTGACCGAGGGAGACTGCAGTTTTGAAATTGCGTGTGCTTGTCCGTGTGGCATTCCCGAAAGAGACCACCGTTTGCACCAGACCACGGCTTTCACCAACCACTGTAAAATGACACCAAACCATGCTTTACACTAACCACCGTTTGAACCAAACCACGGTTTGCGCCAACCACCGCGTACACCAAATTACAGCGTGCCCTTTGCGCCAAACCATGGTTTGCGCCAACCACCGTTCATGCCAAAGGAAAGCAACTGTAGGTTTTCAATATTATGTTTCCATGCTTGGATCTGAGTTTCGGCTTCTCATGTGCTTCCAGACTGTTCGAAAACCGTCCAAACCTGAAGGACTAAGCCTGCCATGTGGGCGCCTCTTCGGAGCTTCCGTCTGGTGCTGCTTCGGAGCTTCCGTTTGCGGCTCCGTCTCTCAGCAGATGCTTACTCTCTCTCTCTCTCTTTCCATGTCTGTCTCTCTGTCTGTCTGCAACTTGGACACCAAATTTTCCCGGGTTTCGGACGGCTCTCACCCTGTTTTGACGGGCTTTGCGTGGGCTTTTTTCGCGTGCTTGCCACGAGTTTGGCATGGCCTTTTCAAGCTTCCAGCCACCATGTTAAAGCAGCGCCATTGAGACTGGTGCATGACTAAAGCACCGGGCCAACGCTTGTGTTGACAGAATGCTCTCTCAAATTTCTTTCAAACGGAATGCATTCACCGCAAGCCCTGCCACGCTGGCACCTGCTGCAGCTTGGCTGCAGACTTGGGTGTATGGAAAGCTCGGATAGTGAAGCTCGACTTCTCGGAGTTGGGGAAAAGTAGGAGTGTGTCTGATATCCGAGGGAAAGAGTGATGTGTTTTGGTGTGAGGTCCAAGAGTACATTCATTTGCGTACGGACATCTGCTGTGCCTCCAGAGGAGCCGCTGCATCCACCCCGACACCATCGGGGCACTGAACATGCACGCAGACGGGACCGTTGTTTTTCGCATGCTTGCCACTAGTTTGGCGTGGCCTTTTCAAGCTTCCAGCCACCAGTTGAAAGCAGCGCCATTGAGACGGGTGCATGACTAAAGCGCCGCGTCAGCGCGTGCGTTGACAGACAGATGCTCTCTCAGGATTCTTTCAAACGGAGTCCATTCACCGCGAGCGCCGCCACGCTGGCGCCTGCAGCTTGGCTGCAGACTTGGGTGTACGGAGAGCTCGGATAGCGAAGCTCCACTTCTCGGAGCTGGGGAAAAGTAGGAGTGTACGATATCAGTTGTGTACGGACATCTGTTGTGTTCGCATTGAGGGGAGCCGCTGTATCCAAACATGTCTCCATAAAATCAAACAACAACCCCTTGGACCACCCTCATCCAACATGTATACAAAGTCAATTTCAACCTTCATATGTCCACACAATTCTCAAACCCATCTCTTGGGCCATATTTGTCAAAGAATATCAAAACAATTTCAACCTTCCTATGACCCCACACTTCTCTATAGAATCAAATCCAACCTCTTGGGCGACACTTGTCCAACCGTTTTTTTATTAAACCAATCTCAACCTTCATATGCCCCCACACTTCTCTAGAAAATCAAAGTCAACCTCTTGGGCCACTTTTGTCCAACATTTTTGTGAAATCAATAATCCCGAGTACCTATTAATAAACACTCCCCAATTAAAAAACACAACGTCCGAACCCCTAAATTCGGTCTATATTTGGTTTTAAATTACCGCCCTTTCAAACCGCTACTAAACTACCAACATGGTCGATTTTGGGGGAAGTTTTTTTAAAATTAGGTTCCCCAAAACTCCACCATGACACGACGCGCTTACACCAGCAGGCTTTCCTTCCCCCAATGGCGCGGACTCACGCAAACGCACTTGCCACCGAGGTCATGCAACACCGCATGGCACAGCGTCATCACCTTTCGAAAGCTTTAGCTGTTAGTCTACTGAAGAATCACTATTCTAATGAAGGTTTTGTAGGGGAAAAGGAAGTCCCTTCGATCTGGAGGTTTTTTGCATTTTTGATCCGAGTTTAATGAAGGATTTTATATAAAATTTGACTGGATTACTTTTTGGTTTTGAAACTCTTTCCAGGTGACCCTATTTTGGACCCCCCGATTTCGACCCCCTATTAGAAAAAATGCGACCGAGTTTTTTTTTTAATAGGGGGGGGCGTGTTTATTAATAGGTGGTCCGGATTATCAACTTTCATATGTCCCCACACTTCTCAGAATCAAAACCAACCTTGGCACCAAATTTTCACGGGTTTCAGACGGCTCTCACCCTGTTTTGATGGACTTTGCGTGGGTTTTTCGCACGCTTGCCACGAGTTTGGCGTGGCCTTTTCAAGCTTCCAGCCACCATGTTAAAGCAGCGCCATTGAGACTGGTGCATGACTAAAGCACCGGGTCAACGCGTGCCTTGACAGACAGACAGACTTTTTTCGGTGTAGTTGTGGAGGCTTAAGGATCTTTGGTGGGAGGGACGCAACTCCGTCGTGTTTGCTTCAGGAGCCGCTGCACCCGCCTCGACACCCTCGGCGCACTGCAGAGGGCAATGGTCTGACCAGAAAGACAGACACTTGGAAAGGATGGGGTAGAAGTGATCATGTTAGCCTCACAGGTCCAAAGGATTGGTCAAAAAGCATGCATTTCACCTCCCAACTCCCAATACCAAAAATTTTCACAGACCTCTCACCCTGTTTTCACCGGGTGGTCATGGGTTGTTCACCTCCTGTCCCAAGTTTTTCACAGCCTTTTCAACCTGTGGTGGTATGGGCGAAAGCAACGCCGCGAACCTTAAAGCAGGGCATTTAGGCACATGAGCGTAGCCTCTAGTGCTAACTTGCCGCCTGACCGCACCGTGACTCAGGATGTTCGAGCAGCACGAAGCGCCTGAGTCACACCCACATTGTCGTGGAGCGCCCGCCGGTTGCCGGTGAGGCCGTAAGTAGACATATACAGCTGCGTCTGGCTTTGTTTTCGCCTCCTCCTTCTCAGGTGCGCTCCTGGATGCGGGAGTCATAGCTGGGGGCACCTAATTGTTTCCTGCTCCACTGACGCGCGCCTGCCTAGATACATGTCCATACCTGAGCCCTATAGGATCGATGGCTGCTGTCCTGTCCGTATTGAACGCGCGCAGGAAGAATTGGATGTCCGAGGGGTATGTCCCATTTAAGAAAGGTCACACACTGAGTGTGCGGTCAGACCGCATATACAGCAGGTTTGTCCTGGGAATGCTTTTCAATACCATGGAGAGAACCCTACCTGCTCGTTGCGTTGAACGACGCTATGTAGGTTGCCCCGCAACCTCGCGGTCGAGCGCGGCATCGGAGCGTGCCGGCGCAGGAGGAACCTTCTCGCAGGACCCGGTGTGTTCGGTGCATGGCGAACTCACAAAGGAAATGAGCGCAAAAGGACATCTATTCCTGCGCTCACTCTGCTGACTTGAGGAAGGAAATGTGTGGTTGTTGACCCACTGGCAAGGCACCCTTCCATACTGGGATGCATGAAAGCTGTTGAACCACTGGCAAGGCACTTCTGCGTAGTGGGGATTGAAGTGCAATCGGTGACGCAGGCTCCGCTGCGTACTGTGGTTTTTGATTGACCCAGGTATGTTTTGATTGAGGAGCCAGGGTAGGACTTTTCAACCTTTGCGCACTGGGATCAGGCAACAAAATCCGTGACACAATCGCTTTTTGGAACCTCTACGTATTCAGGTTTTGGAAGTGGTTTTGGATCTGGGGTTTTGATTGCAACCGGTCACGGGACCTGTGCGCGCTGGGAAGAGCAGCTCTGCGTACTAGGCAAGGTACCTCTGCGTACTGGGTGATCTATGACGCGTGAGGCTGCGGAGCCACGGCAAGGCACCTCTGCAGAATGTGCCTTTTGAATCCTTTTGATCTTTTTTGAGGCAGGGGTAATTTACTGGGACCCTGCACAGGGTGGAAAAAGAACCCTGCACAGGGTGGAAAAAGAACACTGCACAGGGTTTAAAAAAACCATGTGTGACAAGGTGGAAATGGAACCCAAACAGGGCAGAAAAAAACACCATGCCCAAGTTCGCCCTGTAGGTAGTCAAAGCGCTGAGAATTCCTAGACCTCAGGTTGTTCATGGTCTTTTCTTATCCCCCAAAATTTCTGTCACGCCCACAAGGTCACTCCCTTCACACAGTTCTAAGGTATTGATGGTGCTACTACAACATAATTTGGATACAGATTCAGTAATCACTACAGAATCCAGTATCCAGTGATGATACTTATTAGGAAGTCCAACTTCACCTATCAAAAGGGTCCATCAATTATATAACATATGGCTGTACCAACATCGCCCGCACTGGCAGACCAACCGGCCAATTCTTGCGGGAGAGCTGGCTACAGCAGGCCGAGGGCGCGAGGGCGGAACCAGTAATTTTCGGTGGACATCACGAGGACACTGAAGAATCGTGGCACCTGAAGAAGAGAACATCAGACGTGCATGATGTGCACAACCCTGTTTTTGTATTCCATTGTCAGGGTAGACCCCATAAAGTAAGACGTTTTTTGTCACTCATGTACTACTTGGACTGCAATTCTAAAAGTTCTGGGTCTTTCAATTGTGAGATAACCCATGTGCCATCATGTGCCCAAGTATATGGAAGGTTTTTTTCGAGTTCCCCACCTGCTGGAGCTGGAACACCCATTTTGTTGGTGTTTTTCTTTTGATGATGATCATTGACCGCGCTACGAAATGCGCCAGTCGGCATCGGCACCAACAGCGCTTTCTTCCTGAACAAAAAGACTTGAACATGATGATGAGGGCCAATGGGGTTCAGAGGGAAATGGAATTGGTTTCAGAACACATACGAAAGCATATGAACAAAAAACTTATTGCTCAGCTATAAGACATGCTAACATGCTGGATCCACAGACTTGCCAAACGCGCTTCGTCCTCAAAATCTGGGCTGGCCCAGCCTTCTCTGCCGCGCACCGCGGCTCAGCCCCCATCGTTGGGCGCTATACCTCGAGCCCCAGCCTACGAGTGCCAGCCCGGGCGGCCAAGGGTTGAACGACGTCGGACAGATGTGAGGAAAGCTCACTTGGGTGCCACCTTCATGTCGGGGTCACCTGGCTGGAAGCCCCTACACTACTTAGTGTCCGGGATCTCCATTGAACACCCGTTTGACCAACTTTTTTCAGGTCCAGGTCCAGGTGTGTCTTGTAACTCGAGATGCCCTGCCCTCGTTGGGTTTTGGATGGTTCACTGGTCTATTTCCCGGTGACCCGCCAGAGGTTCGGAACGCCACGCTACACCACGGGGGTCATGAGCTATGGCTACAGCCGCAAGCCGCGGGGGGGACCTTTGGACCAAGTTGCGATGTACCAGGACCCCCAAGGGGTGGTTAATGGACACCCCGAATCACAGCTAAGGGGGCTATAAATAGACACCCGTTGGAGGGTCCTGGTAGGTTTTTCTTTTTTTTTCAATTTGTAATTCTTTTCTGGGGGTGCTGCCTACAGCTTGGCGGTCCACATGTAGCATGGAGGAGTTCAAGCGCACATAGCCTTTTTAATGGTGAGTAGAGTGAAATGGCCACCTTCCAAGAATTGGTTGATCCACGATGTGATCTGAACCGTGCGACCAGTTGCGTGAGGGGTTCAACCTTGATCGAGCTCAGGCACTGGGTGACACGCCGTGTGACAGGTGGTACCTGGAGAATGGGTTCTTTTCAGATGAAACATATGGGTTCTTGGATCATCCAAATTGTGGACCTTTTTTTCTGCCGAATTCTCATCGTACGTATAGAATCGATTTACTGTAAGTGAAAAAAACAGGAGCCGTTTCGACCAAATTGCCCCGAAGGGGTTATCAAGTGATCGTCACTATGGTAGGATGTAATCCGAGATTGATTTCGTTTCGCAAGTCTCACGCAAGTCTCGGCACTTTCACCATCTGAGTCTCTTGGCCAACTCTCCTGGCTCTGCGGTCTCAGGCTCCTCATGGGTCTTCCTCTTCCCACTCTTCATGCCAGTCACCCTTCTTCCACCACCCCTGGGTCAGGGTGAACCTGAGGGTTCATGAGGGTTCGGTATTGCCATCTCTTTCGGAGGTCTCTTACCACCGGACCCCGCTCCCCGTCAAGTCCGAGGTGCCTGGTGCGGCAATGTGTGTCATCGAAGAAATAGCACTCTCCCCAAGCATTCCGGACCTGGATCCCGACTCCCCCAAAAAGGAGGCATTGAAGGGGCCCCTTGCTGTCAGATCCAAGGTTTCTTAAAGGTATATAATGTATAGTCATATACTGCCTCATCTTGGAGAACTGGGAGGTGGAGCACACCCGCTCCCTATTTTCAGACAGATTTGATGGTGACCCCTCCGCCTCGAACTGAGGCTCGACTGGAGCCTGAGCAACTGCAAGGCCAGGATGATCCCAGTGCCTCTGCCGAGGACTCCGTCGCAACCTCTGATCCGGTGGGAACTAGGGTGTGAAACCCATTGAAACCAATTGGTTTGTTGTTGGTCTCTCTCCCTCCAATTTCTGAGAAAGACTTGAAGATTTGGTATAGTTTTTCTTTTTTTGTTTTGCTTTCGCATGTTTCCCTCCGTCTCGCAGTCTTTATTCGACCCGCAAGACGTCCGAAAAAGGAGAATGAGCTGTGGAAGACCTACGTCCAGCTCCTCACCGACACGCCCGGGGATCCCGGACAGCTTGGGGGGAGCCTGTTTCGGACAGCTCGGAGGTTCGACGACGGCAAACGCAAGACATCTGATCTCCGAAATCGAGACATATCGATGGTGGAGGCCTGGGCAGGTCTCGATATTGGAACTATATGTTCTTGGAGCTTGGAACTTGGTCTTCCCCACTCTCATCCGACAGCCGGTCGAACCCAGAAGAACCGTTCACACAACGAGGCTGGAACCCCTGTGGCCCGAAGCGGAGGACGAGGGGAGTTAGACGGCTGCGGGGAGAGAGGAGAGAAGGAAGAGCTTGGAAGGAAACGTACCATACCAGGGCCCCCTAAAAGGGGCGTGAATGGATGCCCCTTTACCTCTACTGGGCTATTAGACACCCCTGAGTGAGGGTGCCCTGGTAGAAGTCCAAAGACTGCATACTTTTCCTTAAGTAAAGGAAGTTCCCGAAATCAAGTTCCCTAGTCGGAAGAATTTTCAACTTTGACTGCCAGGCATATGAATCATTTTGATCCAAAGGGGTATGGAGAAAGGACACAGAAAAATCGCATCAATGGTTGGATGCCATTGTTGGCCAGTCAGTGCATTGGGACACCCTACTCAACAGGACCAGGTGGCAAGTTCGGTGATACAAACTTGTATTTTCCGGGAAAACTGAGATGAGCACAGCGCACAGCATATATATTCTTTCTTGAATTTCATGGCGTTGCTTGGAGGATCTTGGCGAGACGCAGCATGCGCCAGGAGCGCGTCCGAGCGGTGATGATGGCTGAGTTCGATGCCGAACAGAGGCGTGAAAGAAATGAGTGAGGTGGTGAGACAGCGGCACCGTGAGTCATAGCGAGTCCAAAGAGTGTCAATTAGCAGGGATGTGGAGGAATCATGGTCCAATGGGAGATGCAAATCTTCTTCTCCTGCTTCCGTCAAGTGCTTGAAGCACCAGCATCCACTCGTCGTCAATCTAGGAGGTTGGTGCCTTGATGTGCCTTGTGTGGTAGGCTGTTAGCCGACGATAGCCGACGTTCTGGTGCTTGCATGCTTCATACCGGCTTCATACCTCCCTAAATTCCCCAACTATGCGACAGGTTCGTGACTTCTGTTCCGAGGCGGGACGAGCAGGTGGGCGCCATTCGCAAGCGTGTGCTGAAGCAGATGATGCTGGCCAACGAGGGGATCCGGACAGAGGATCGACCGCTGGTGTGAACGCTTAGGGGAGCTGAAGGGCTTTGGTATGTCATCCTGTTGGATTCAACTGTCCGACCCACTCAAGGGTCTAGATGCCACCTTTCAGGGTTGCTCGGACTAACATGTGGACTATTGGACTTGTGATGACTTGTGTCTTGTATGCTATATAGATTATTTTGGGAATGAACATGGCTTTATAGATTGAGTTTTATTCATGTGCATGGTCTGTGCATGCTCTTCTCGCGGCATCGACCCATCCCTTTGCCTATCTTGAATCCCACATGCCAAGGCTCATTAATCAAAACCAAACCACTCAAATCGAGCCCCAACCCCTCGCACTTTTTCTGCCCATCATCAAACCAGGTGTCAACACCCCCCAAAAAAACCGTCCAAGTCCAAGAAGCTATGGCTATGTCTATGTTCTCAAACTTATTTTGCATGAGTTGCACGTTCACGGAAAACCTGCCTTCAGCAAGCTTGCAACATCACCCTCAGACAGACCACCATCTCTGCCTTCACTCGCTTGACCAAGAGGTCCCCACGTCAAACATTTCCTCCGTCAGGCAGAACTCGATGCCATCCTCACGGTGCTGCAGACGGATGAACGTCCCCTCACTCAATAATCGATGGACGGCCGGAGGAGCCTCAAAACCACGGGGTTTTGGCAGAGGGAAACTATCATCATTCTTCACCTACGTTAATCGATTTTCATGCAGATGATCCGGTGATCCATGTTCAGGAGGAAATCTATCCATGTTTGCTTGTCGGAAGAAGGGACACTCCCTCACTTCCCACCAGGCCCATCGCCTAAATTTCAGTCTACTGAACTCATCGAAGTGATGTGATGGGTCTTACGAAGCTAGATTCACTAGACAGAGAGCAATTCTGGATGAAGATAGACAGATAGACACAACGAACCCGACCCATCCCACAGTCGCAAAAAGGGGCGAGAACTGCGGGAAGGGCAAGGTCCCCATGTCGCTGTCCCCGCATGGTCCCGCCTGTACATGTCCGGCAGCAATTAACAACGGATTGGAGGTCGCTGACGAAAGATGGCTGGAGGTCGCACTCCATGAAAGTGGAAAACCACCGGTATGTCCAGGATTTCATCGTCATCCTTTCGAGGCCCAGCAAATGCCCAGCATGATCATTCCGAGTTAGTGTTGACATTCCAGTTGCTCTCCGAATTCTTCTCCCCCCAAGAAAGATAGTGTCATGCAGACCATCGCTAGTAGGTTGGAGGCCATTGCTATAGTAGGTTGGAGGCCATTGCTAGTAAGGATTGGTCTATATAGGACTTAGTTCCAGCCGAACCTTAACGTGCAAACCTTTCGGAGCCGAGCCTCAGTGTCTTCGAATCCTCCGATCTCCTCCTCAGCAAGCTCGCTCGCTCGCTGGCTCGCTCGCTGAGCGAAGGCCAAACGCCACGCGGTGGGATTGGCCGCCCTCGGTGTTTTGGCGCGGGTTCGGTGTTTTCTTCCTTTTCCATCCTTTTCCGCGCGGTTCGGTGGTTTTTTGAGGTCTTTTGAAGTACCTGGGCCTCCTCATGCAGTGCTGCTTGCAATCCGAAAAGCTCCAGGCGAGGTCTGCGCGTCTCTGTTCTTTGGTGGGAGGAAGTGGAGGCTCTTCGAGGCCAGTTGCTATGCCAACCCGGTCAGGTTGGAAGGCTTTCCGAGATGATCAGCGCCAGATTGAAGCGCCAGATTTGCGCGAGATGTGCAAAAGCAGATCCTTCTTCCTGAATCTTCCTGATACCATTCTCTCGAGATTGTGTGACATCACAAAGCTGTGACATCCCATTCTCTCGGATGTGCCGCCAGGAGAGATTGACCCGGCGGCAGAAGGAGGCTCCGTGAAAGCATTGGTGCTTGGAGAATTTGTCGGTTGATAGTTGGTGGACGGTGGAGGTTGATGTTTCACACAGACCGGTGGCCCCGGTGGCTAGGTCTTTGTCCATGTTTCCACCAGACCGGACCATCTCGGAGTTGTCGGTAGTTCATGCTGTGAACACGATGTGACGCGATGTGCCACGCTCCTAGCTACTAGTAGCCAGTAAGGTACCTTGCTACTTGTTTTTTCCTTCTTGCATAGCCGTGCATAGCAATTGCAATGATTCTGTACGCGAGATACTTGCAATGAAATCCAATGAACATATTTTCAAACAACAAGGACTTTGTTTCTTAATTGCTGAAACGAACACGTTTAGGGTTGGTTATGGTTGGTTGCAAAGCCTTCATCACAACAATCACACATGTACACAAACCAGTTTTTGGTTCCCTTTTCTCTACTTAGGGTTTAGGGTGTACCCCCGAGAACTGGGCATTGCCAAGCTCTCCTGCCCTCCGTTCGACCAGCGGCCAGTATGCCTCCTCCAGCGGCTACTCGGCGAAGGAGCAGGCCGAGGAGGCTGGAGACGGCGAATGTGTGCGGTTTGCACATCCAGTTGGGGTAGGAGCTTGGGTGGTGTGGAGATTGGGAGTAAATACATGTAAATACACTTCCCCCACGCCAAACTCCATCTGAGAAGGCACTTGGAGCCCTATGGCTTACAACTTATCACCATCCGGAGGACCATCCGAGGACATACTGATTAGACTTCTGAAGAGGATTGTAGAATACGCTTCCGACACGCCTTCATTTTTTCCCGACACGCGGAGGTCCATCTTCCCCTATAGGGATCCAGTCTTACCGAACCTCAGAAGGCACCTGGACCCTCCAAACCCACCCCAAACACCTTCTGAGAAGGTACTTGGATCGCTATCGGGTTCCACTTGTTTTTGTCGTTTTTGCGTCGCCCGACGTCGCGCGTGGTGCATCAAACGAGGCGGTGCAGGGCGTGTTTCAGCGGGCCAAATCCTTGGAGATGAGGAGTCCGGACTTGGTGCCGCGGTGCCGCGGACTTGGTGCCGCGGGGTCGTTTGGTGGAATAAGATGTGGTTGGACCTTCGGAACTGGGTCAGACCTGTGAAGTGCTTGAGAAAACTTTATGGGTTTTCTACGCCTTCTGACTTCTTTCGTTCGCACCCGGGGCCTACCCCGAGGGTCGCGGGTAGCTGCTGTTGGCGGTCCACACCCTCTCGACTGACACGCCCGCCCGGCGACGGGGTGGTGTGGCTCCTCTAAGGTGGATGAAACATCACAAGCCGAGATTTGTGGAAGTCCAAGACCAGTTAAACCATGGTTGAGCTGGTATGGTGTCGCAAGTGTGGACATAGAATGAACAATGAATTAAACCGGATGACAATTCACCATCCGGTGAGACATGCTAAGATTCATGATGATTCATGCATGTCGCTGAAATTTCTGGTGTCGCGAACCATGAGGAGCACACCCCTGTGCATCCCCAAAGAAGGCACAGAAATCAGCAATGTGGACAAAGACTTGAAGACTTGAAGGCCGCCATTGGGCCAAACCAGCTGACTTGAAGACTTCTAGGTCATGTCTTTTGGAGAAGATTGGCCTGGATTATGGTAACATCGCAGTGGATAGATGGGTAACGCTTTGGGGGTGGGTCTAAAGCCTTCATGCTAGCAAAACTCTGCAAAGTCAAGAGGAAGCATGATATGAACTTTTGCAATGCTTCTAGCTGCAAGTCAGATCTCTGACATCATTGTTGAAGGATCAAACTAAAAGCTTGGAACTGAAGCATGCTAAAGTACTGCTAAAGTAAGAAATCCATTAAAACCACAGAGAGCTCAAAGATACTGATGGTTGGACAACACTTGTTGGGAATGAATCCCTCGACCCGGAGGATTCAAGCCTGTTGTAGCCCGGGCTCCCAGCTTCAACGCGCGCTTCCGTGCGGGCGCCGTGTGAACGTTCGGCACCTTGGTGCTTCGGACGACGAGAAAGCTCTTCGGCGTGGGACATGTGGAGCGAAGCATGTATTGATTCCTTTTCGAATATATGCCCCTTTCTGGCCATGGAGAGCTCTTCCACGCTCTTCCATTTTTGACATCTTTGCCCACAACCTATGACGTAGAAGCTGCCACAGGTAGAACATTCCAAAAATTCTTAACCTTCAAATGCGAAAGGCTTTTGAGGCTCCGACTCCCGCGAACCGGAGGCTCCAAGGATTGTTTGGGAGATGAAGAACCCACAGAGGGTGCCTAATTTGTTGAAAGGAACATGACAATAAAACACTTTAAACTTCATTCTTCTCCAGTCACTACAGTATAGACCCTATCCCCTGTCTTTGTTTCTATCCTTTTCTATCCCCGTCATTCGGTTTTCTATTCTATCCCGTCCGAACGTCCTCCCAGCCCCGGGTCTCGGTGTGGGACCCTCCGTCTCCGGGACCTCCGTCCTGAGCCGTCCTTCGGACCCGGGCAAAACGACGGTCCCAGTCGGAGGGCCATGCCATTCACCAGCACACCATGGATTCGTCCGTGGGTATTTTCGCCGGTTTGGGCGGTCCAAAACGGTCCAAGTCCACGGAGGGTGCCGACCGTCGCGTAGACGGCCAACCCAACCGGAAGACGGACCGTCGCGTTTCTGGCCGTCCTGACGAGGCGCGGCCGAGGACCTGCCAGAGACTTACGCCACTGGGATGAGCACTGGTCACTTCTTGGGAGATGGACGAAACTATATAAATTTGACCATCTTCCTTTTCTTCCTTTGTTTCTAACAGCAATGGCCTCCAACCTAAGAGCGATGGCCTCCTGAGCGATTTCCAGATGGTCTGGGAGTCCAAGACCGTTAAAAAGAATGGTCGACCAACAAAGGGTTCAAGTTTAGGGGAACTTCCGAAAGACTTTGGTCGGTGAAAACTATGGTCTTGGGGACTTATTCTATAGGGCATGTCTTTTGGTCCCCAAATAGAAAGGCTGTTTAAAGACTTCTACTGCTACTTTTCTATCTATCTTGGGGTCACTGTCACCGTCGCTGATGAAGGTTCAACTTAACCCAACATTCAACCAAACTGACCTGTGCTTTGGGTCTTCTGTCCGGGTGGTTTGATGGAGCAAAATGACAAAGGGCAGTATAGAGGAAGACGTTTTTTTCTGCATCTTAAGACATTCCTTCACACTCTGCTCCGCAGGTATCTGCAGGTCGCATTCGGGTTGAACAGATCGTAGAAGCACACCAAATTGAGATTGTCGAGATCGTTCAAGACGAAGGGAGTGGGACATCATCTAGATATTGACATGGGAATGGGGGGAATGGGTTGGGTCCACCCTATCACCAGAAGCGGTGGATGATGATGGTTAGGTTCCAGGCCTTTCCCGACGGTTACAGGTCAGTTCGGACACCCCCCAAGGAGCCGGGTTGTTCAACCATGTTCGCCCGACGGTCGTCCACCATGTAGTGAGTTTGAAGCGTTTGGTCTCCTGGTGCCATGACCCACAGCTATCTCCTTGACCCGATGCCACCGTCCAGGTCCAGGGTGGATGGAATTTGGGGCATTGATTTCAGTCCCGGTCAGTCAGCCCCGGTGGTTTGAGGTTGTGTCCATTTCCACCATAGACCATAGACATCCATAGACTATATACTATATAACAGATATTATTTTTTCATTCTTTTACTATTGGCCGGCTGATTCATGGAGAGGTTAACCCCCCAAAGTGTATGCGCTCTACTCGATGTTCAAGACATTGAAACACCAATTCGGACCAATTCCAATGTGCCTCCCTCGATTCTTCCGGGACAAACCGGCGACCGGTCTAAGTGGAGAGAGGATGCACCCGGCCGACCGGTCATTGAACCCGGAGGGATCTGGAGGGTTTGGACCCTGCTTTTAAGCACGCAGGGGTGAAGGTACCGTGAAACCTTCACTTTTGAGGGTCCATGATTCTTAGGGAGAGATAGTAACATGGCCACCTCGCTCGTCTATGTGTGGTTTTTTCCAGGCAGTGGTAAATTACTGTATGTCAGATAGCTCTTTTTTTGGGGGGGGAGGCGGTTCGTATCATTCTTCTATTCCTCTGCGAATTCCAATCAAATCCAATCAATCAGAGACTCGACTTGCTCTCCAGCTCGATAGCGCTTCGTATGGGGACACCGCACACAAAAAGGACGGCTTTCTTTTCGGGTAAGGCTCAATCAAAGAAAAGCGTGGCTTTTGAAGAATGGAAGATGTGCTTGAACTGATTGAATTGATGTGCTCAACATCATCCGGCCCTGCAAAAACACATGTAATTCGCAACACTATATATCATTCAGGAATCGTGCATGGCCTGAACAAGTTTCCCCGACTGGAGCCAACCACAAGATCCCGAACCCAAACAACATGCTGCCATCAAGAAAGGGCAAAGACACCAATTGCCCACCATAAAATTTACTTGCTATATACACAATCATTTTTATAAATACCGTGTGGACGTTAGTCACGCTTCTTGAGCTAACACCAACATTCACACCTGGACCCTGCGGTCCTCGAACTCTTATTTCAATACAGTCATGTTATGAAGAATCTGGAATGTCAATGGATGAATTAAGTGATGGGGTTCATGAACTTGGCGTCGTGGGTTTGATAGGATTGGCCAAAGCCCATGAAAACCATTACACTCCCTGAAACAGTCATTGAAGTGGAACAGTTCGGCCCCTGAAAGACCATTTTCCTGTGCAAGGGGGCTTTTGCTCAGCTTCCATGATTGTCTGAGGGAGGGTAGTACCTCATGGTGATCATTGTGGGTTTTACCAAGCAACACGTGATCATTTGGATCAGTTTCAACCTTTTACAGTGCGTTTGTATCCCTTTGCCATGCGCATCAGCCAAGTTTCTGGTGCGATGTGGACCACCGTGCATGAGGATGAGCTGAAGCAAATGGTGGAAAGTGGACAAAACATTAAGGACTTGAAACGGAGGCTCTCCTATCGTCTTGGATATTCAAGATTTCGACAAAGACTCTTGGGTGAGGCGGGTGAGCTTCATGATGACGAACATTTGACGCAGAACCTGCCGCTAGAGCTGCAGCTGGTGGTTTTGAGCTTTTGTCCTTGTGACCGTTCGGAAGATGCAGACTTTGCACGTGCGTGCTCACAGAATTGCCTGCAGACTGTGGAATCCGTACTTCAGGCGCCGCATGATCCAAATACAAGGGATCCAGAGACTCATTTGACTCCATTGCATGTTGCCTCTGAGAATGGTTGCTTAGAAGTGGTGGAGTTGTTGATTGAGGCCGGAGCCAACATCGAGGCCGCTTCACGAAATGGCTGGACTGCTTTGCATAAGGCAGCTGAGAGTGGCAGCTTAGAAGTTGTCAGACTTCTGCTGCATGCTGGAGCCAACATGGAAGCAGCCACAATGCCAGGTGGTATGACTGTGCTGTATTTTGCATCTAAGAATGATCACTATGACGTGGTGAGGTTGTTGGTGCAGGCCAGAGCTAACATGGAAGCAACATCAAGAAATGGTTGGACTGCATTGCACAAGGCAGCTGCAAATAACAGTGTGGACACTGCGAGAGTGTTGGTTGAGGCTGGCGCCAACATGGATGCAGCTGTCCCAGGTGGTTCAACAGTGTTGCATGTGGCAGCTTGCTGGGGCCATTCTGAAGTAGTTGCCATGCTGCTTCAGGCCGGAGCCAACATGGAAGCAGAATTCAACGGCTGGACACCTTTGCAAGAGGCGTCTGAGAAGGGTCACGGTGAAGTGGTAAGGCTGTTGGTGCAGGCCAGAGCTAACATCGAAGGCGCTTCAAATGGCTGGACGGCGTTGCATATGGCATCTGAGAAGGGCAACTCAAGTGTCGTGAGATTGTTGGTCGAGGCTGGAGCCAACGTGCATGCCTGTCCGCCTGATGGTCGGACCCCTTTGCACGTGGCAGCAGCCAAGGATAGGTTGGAAGTGGTGAAGTTCTTGATTGAAGCAGGAGCCAAAGTACAGGCTGTCGCGCGAAATGGCTGGACTGCTTTGCATGAGGCAGCTGCGAGCGGCAGCCTAGAGGTTGCGAGATTTCTGGTGCAGGCTGGAGCCAACATGGAAGTAGCTTCAAGAACTGGCTGGACTGCTTTGCGCCTGGCAGCTAAGAATGGCCACTGCGAAGTGATAGGATTATTGCAGGACTCCCTCAATAGTTTCACTGCTTCCAGTGAAGCAAAGAAGCATCGCTGGAGATGACTTTTGTGACAGAAGAAAAAGGAGAAAGACAACATGCTATGCCGAAACAACGGGGCAACCTTTTCCTATACTCTTCAAGAAGATTCCAGTCGAACGTTGTTTGGATTTATTCCTTCCCTAGTTTGATCCTGCGGTCCTGTCGACGTTTTGCGTTGGTGATCCACGGTCCGTGTTGCCAGGACCCGGCGGTTCATCAACTTGTTCACAGGATTGGGGTTCCCTTCCATCAAGTGATCAGGTTCTTGGCGTGACGACTTCTTAAACCTTTGTGTGTCATCTCTTGAAAGCTCTGTAAAGTATGGGGGTGTCCGAACTTACCTGTAACAGTTGGTAAAGCAATTATCACTCGAAAGGCCTGGAACCTAACCATCATCCACTGTTACACCCCCCCCAAAAAAAAAGAAATAAAACACATACATAGCTGTAGGTATTTGTAGATCAAAACCTCATGCTTCCAAGGTCTGAAGTGCCTTTTTCACATTTCTTCCTCATCCAGCTTCCAAATTGCTCAAGGGGTCACAACCTCCCGGGTGGGGGAGACAGACAGGAATGTCTCACACATTTCTTTTGCTTATGCTTTCCAAATCTCATCTTTGGGCAAACTAGTAACAAGGGCGCTACTAGGAGCAAAGGGCATCGCTACTAGGAGCAAGGACGCTACTAGGGGCTCCTGGCCTTACTACTAGGAGCAATGTTTGCTACTAGGAGCAAAGGGCACGTGAAGCGCCCCCAAATCTCATCATTTTGGTGAGTTCGCTTAGGATACCATGCAGTCCGTGGGCGACTTCTTCTCCAAGCTCAACCCCTTTCGCTGAACTCCACCGCAGAATCTCCCGCGGAGCTCCGCGGAAGACATTCGCTTCGTCGTCAATCCCTACAGGAGGGTGTTCGGACCTCGGGTTCGAAACGAGAGGGTTTTTCATGGTTTTTCTCATACCCAAAAACACGACGAAGCTATGAGGTGGTCGTTTTACCACGGACCAGGTTTGACCATGAAACACTCTGGGTCGGACGGAGTGGACGTCCGTAGGGATTGGTTGGGGTGATCCTTCCACCCAGCAACAGTGCAGATGCATTTCTTTGGGAATTGTGGAGTTGAGGTTCACTGACAGCTCCTCACACTTTTCATCTCTTTTGGCTATTACTGGGTGGTGGGATGCCAGTTTCTGCTCCGTTTTTCCCCTTTTCCGCGCGGGGAGCCTGGAAGTTCCGTTCGAACGGACCATTCTGGGACTGCCAAAGACGCGACTTCCGGCTTTTGACAGTGAACCATCGTGAACCCACCGCGGCGACAGGGATCGCCACAACGGCCTGCCCTGCTGATCCCTGCTGTCAGAACCCGATCCTCGATCGCCCCCAGACTGGTCTGGTCTGCCTCTCCCGAACCGAGACCCAAGGCGTAAAAGACGAGACTTTGGTCTAACGCATCTCAAACGGTATTCTGACTGGTTTGATACTTACAACTTATAAACCCTTTCGGCCACCAAGGTCCTGAACAAATAAGGATTTGTAGAGTCAAAACAGATCAAAGGGACCAAACATGACCCAACAAAATCGATTTGTTGCCTCTTGGCTCCCAACCGACGTCTTCCAATTTTCAACCGACGGGGCTCCCTGACGCGATGCTCTGCCAAAGATGTGCAGAAGACCCAAACGAATTGGATCCAAAAAGGAAGGGCCGGCCTGCTGGCGGGAATCGAGATCTTCGGTGCAACAGCTACTGTTGAATTTGGATGATTGGTACAGCCTGTCAGAGACCTCTCAGACCCGGCTCCGGGTACCAGATCGATCTGAAATTGAAGACGACCTCTGTGAGAATTGCTTGAAACCTCGTGATATCTCGTGATCATGGCACCTGGAATGCGCTCCATTTTTGCAGAGGCTTCAGGCTGAATTGAGCCCTTGCAACAAGTAACATCAGCACGATTGAGACAATAGGATACATGAGGTATTATAGGATGTATTAGGTATGTTTCCGACCTCTAAATCCCCTGGCGCACTCCTTCTTTCCTCTCGCTCTGACACATCGGATCACAAAGAAAACTCTCGCACATCCTGGGAAGGGAGACCAATCCTGAGAAGCCGATAGGCTCTTAAAAAAGGCTTCAACGACCTGAAATAAAGGGGATCCCACACACGTTTGGAACCCCAACTGGCGCCACATCAGCCAAAAAAAGACATCAGCCGACCGACGGACTCCAAGAGATTGGATACTGTAGACAACCGACCTGACTGCCGCCATGGTGAAGGGCAAAGTGCCTTGGTGGATTTGGTGCTGGGATGTGGGAAGGATTTAAGCACAGAGCCTGTCAAAAGACGACCGACCCACCTTGCGCAGGTCGTCACAAAGACGACCGACCCACCTCTGGACGGCGCCCCACGACTCGTCAACGACCTTCGACCCGACGTGTCCCAAACGCGAGGTCCAAGTCCCGGAGGAGGGACCGCACCGGTCCAACTCAACTACCCCCATCAACCCATATCTCTTCTCTCCTTCGTCTTTCTGGGCGGTTTGGCCAGCCCAGACCTGCAAGGCTGGTCCTTTCGTCGTCTCCATCGCAACTCGCAACGAGACCAGACCGATCATCCGTGAACAGCCGCTGGTCTCGTCCGTGAAACAGAGCGTCGTTTCCTGAGGCCTTCAGAAAGCAATGGAAGGCTGGGGATGGGAGACGACGTTTTCAGACGCACATGGAGACCTTCGCGGGTTTTCGACTTGGAGACGACCTGGATGGATGAGACGTCATTCGGTCAGGGACAGACAGAGCGGGTTTTCGTCGTTGACAGCGAAAACCAAGGAGTTCTAAGAGGTTCCTCATGATGGACATCAGGTCACCTGAACATGGTCTTCGGATTGAACGAAATGGTCCTCGTCGAACTCGAGGGCCACGGCGGTCTCGGCCAGTCCCATGGTTCTTCCAGGGAGTGTTCTTGCCAGGCCCATGATGTGATGCATTAGGGAGACTTCCCGCAACAAGAGGAAATAGATCAGTCTACCCGTATCTACCCGTTGGGTATCTCCCCAGAATACACACCCATATGCACGTGGGTCAAAAACCTGGGGACCCTGTTTTTTCTCACCGAACATGAACAGATAGACTACTGAGACATGGCCAACCGGCCAGAGTGCACATGGCTCCGGGTTTTGTCTCGCCATATGGATTACACTCCCAATATATGGTGCCTGTAGATGACGCATATTCAACCTGTAAATCCACCAGACTTCACAGAACGAGGCCGGTAGACGGTAGAGCGACAATTGTAGACCTGTCAAACCCGTTGGGTGTCTCCTTACCCTAAAAACACGCAGATCTACCTGGACCCGGTTTCAAGCACCCTAGAAAATAGGACGTGCCCCTATCAAAACAGGTGCAAGTTTTCCTTGTACTCATTTTCTCAGCTATGAACTGAGACTCCAGATAGCCCTGTCGGCTTCCTTAGCCTCGGACTTGGATGAAGAAAAATCGGCTCCGACCCGAAGCCCGGGAATCTTGCCCGTGGTGAAAGCCAAGTGCATAAGAAAAACCGCCTCAACACTCCGAGTTTTCCAAGGGATCATCAAGATAGCACCCATCTATACCCATCTTCCTTCTCTAAACTGAGTCTAAACGCAACTGATTCCCATTGTTCGATGCTTTTGCTTGACCTTTTTTCTGCCGCCCAGCCCCACGGTTCACCGCCGCAGGAAGCCCGAAAGCCCTTCCGCCAGCGGGCCTCGTCCCGGAGCAAGTCGATGCATCGGGCAGCTCGGACGAAGCGATCGACGCCCGAAGCAGCGGTGGATCGAAGGTTCTGCGCGGTTCGGGGAGGTCGATGAACAGCTTCTGCGCACCCGTGTTGAGCGTCCAGTCAGATGGAAAGAGGTCCAAAAGAGCCGGTTCTGAACAGCCAAACCACTTGGATCCGTGCATCTTGTATGATCAACACTGCTCAACTTGCTAAGAATTTCATGGCCGGTCAGTGAACAGTGAACCAGGAAGATGGGGGGGACCATGCTTCCTGGGACCATGTACTGGAACCATCCAGTTTTCTTCAACGGAGTTTCCTCCAGGTGAAGTGGCTGGGCAGAAGACTAGCCGCTAGAGCGAACGCGTCGTTCACGAACGCCACATTGGCTAGAAGAGGAAGGCATCAGAAAGCCGGTGTTTGAAGGGAAAGGCATGGGTGGAACTGAAATGGCCGTGAAACACCAAACCCGGAGCTGCTTTCACCAGGGTAGGTTGATCTCCTGTAGGTCGTCCATTCTGTTCCTTTGGTGAACCCAGGTAGCCCGCCTGCCAGGATCCACGCCCAGATAGATCAAGAAACAACAACATATCCCACCTACTACTGGGCCCTTCTTGTGCCAAATGGCATCAACTTTTGGCATCAACTTATATCAACTTATCAAACTGAGACAAGGGGCAAACTTTTCAGGTTTTCACGGGTGGAGTTTTAAGTTGTGCACTTCAACCCTTAGAGCACCAAAAAGACACCTCGCAAATCAATCCACCTGAGTTCTCTAGGTCTCACATGACTTCCACCTAGCTTTTTCCATGGCCGACAGTTCTTTCAGAACTCCCTGAAAGCACCATTCTTGGATCATGTGTCTACATGAATTCAGCCACACAACTTGAATTCAGCTTGGCTCACGCGGCACCTGCAGATGAAAGTTGAGGCCTCCTTTGAGGATCGTACCAAGAAGAAGAGAGCCGTGCACCAAGTTGCCAGTGAAGTCTGTTGAGCAGGTTTGACGGATGAACATGGATGAACAGATGAAGGAGAGGATCACGATGTCCTCTTTTGGGGCAAATTGAAGCAATTGAACAATCTGACGTTACCTCAATTCAATGATCGGGAGAACAGACAAAACACGTCCAAAAACTGCTTCAAGACCTGTGCCCTTTTGGGAGGGTCACTGTGTTTAGGCAGAGTCAGATTGCACAGCTTGGTTTTGTGGAGAACCTGGTGATGTGTTATTTCCCCCATTGAGCAACGGTTGGATCCCCTCCAACGGGTGGCCGTTCCGCACGTGTGTTCTCCTTCCTGTCCTCCGCACGTCCGTCCAAGGGAGCCGGACCCTTCAGGATCCGGACCAGTTCTGCAGGGTTTTCCGGTTTCCCTTCCTGCAACCCAACCCCGGAACTGTTGGGTCGCACTGTTCACTCTTGGGCGAACTCTACTGTTCGTGATCGCGAACTCAGAAGGACTTCCGACGGGATTCACCACGTCAAAAAAGGTCGCGGGACACGGAGACTTCTGTGGGTCAGAGACTGTGTCAAACTCGAGTCGTTGGACACAGAAGCTTCGCTTCGCGTCATGATCTCCCAAAACACTCACAAACTAGCACACTCGACTAAAGGAACATCATCTCCTACACCTGGAAAGTGTGCCATCCATCTTTCCTTTGGAAACATACCTTAAGTAGTCACGTAGTCCAAGTATTGCATCTCCAACTGACCGCGATGGTTCCTCCACTGCAGAGAAACGCCAAACATGCACCGTGCGCGTTCGCCCGCTCTGTCACTGGGCCGAAGCGCAATCGAACGCCCAGGAGTTGGAGGAGGTGAAGGCCAAAGCCAAGGAATTGGAACAGGAGCTCATCACCAGGGTTGCCGGCGAGCTCCGTGGAACCAGGGTTTTTCTGATCCGTTCATCACATCACCTCATACTCAACATCTCACCTCATACCACCGTTTTTCTTCCAGATCTTATTTCTCAGTGGTGAACGGTACTTTTCTGGGGGGTGGTATTATGTGGCGAGTGGTGGATCGCCTCTAGGAGTTTGATGTGGGCCGAAAAAGGCCGCTTTTGGATCGGAGGGTGATGGAAGACCTGGGGAGCCTATTGAATCGAGGTGCCCTGGTGACCCAGGTCCTCAATGACGGGTCTGTGGGCTGGCGTGCCACGCCTGCCATGGGCTTGTTGGACGGATTCGGCCTGGGTGGAGGAGATGTTGCACCACTTGGAAATCTCCCAAAAACATGAGATGAAGAGTGGGGTACTCCATAGCTCAGGTCTTGTAGGAAGTATGTTAGGCTTCAACCCGAGGATGGTGACTTCGGGCTTTGCTAGGCGAAGAAAGAGGTGAAGAAGCAGAAGGCGAAGAAGAAGCGCCTCAGCAGCTGAATACATGCATGGAGTCAGTTATGATACCGGACTCCCGGAGTTACCATCCCTCGAATCATGGAAGCTGACCACGACGCCCCTGTATAATTATGAGGAGTTCATCGTTTTCCAGGCTGGCCATGTTCCATCCATAGTTCACGGATTCTCTCAGTGTAAAATGTTTCTTTCACCGACCGATCCTTCAGCCGATTGAATGTCATGGCCTCATCCTCAGATCATGGCCCAACTCAAGATGAAGACGACCATTTGACCAACTTCGCGTAGAGGATGGCCACCTCCGGTTGGCCGGGGTAAACACGGAGATGGACGGTGTTCTCGGTGTTCTCGGTGTTCACTCCTTGTTTTTGGCAGATCATGTCCGACCCTGTGATCGAATTCGATTTCGCATTGGAATGTTCACCGTGTCAACGTCCCGTGCGGTTTAGACCTCCCACGATCCAAAGCTGTTGAAGCTTCACTGGTCGTGTTGTGATGGGATGTGATGGGATATATTTGTACCCCCTGCAGATTAACATAGCACCCCAAAACCACTGGGTTTAGTAGAGGAAACGGATCGAAACCACGGTCCATTCTCAGGGTCCATGTGGTCCGTGACAGCGGGGGTGTTGGTCTGAAAGCCCCTAAGCAGTCTAGTCGCCTCATTTGAGGAGTGCCCACTCCAACGTCCAAAGGGCGAAGTGAGACGCATCGAGTTGCAAATCGCCGGCGGAGGATCACGTGGAGTCGGGACGGGACTTGCTCTCCCCATTCTCCCCATTCCCATTGTCGACGTTTGTCGGCCGTTCAAGCAGTCCAGTGCAGGCGGATCGGCCGTTGAGCCCAAGAGTAGCATCTCGTTGAGCCAAGTATCAGGAGTCACAGAGCGCGATAGGGGTGCCGGTTCCGAACGGAGGAAGTCGGGGCTGCCCCGAACTCACATAACACAATCCACTCATTGGATAGGACGAAACCCACCCCAACATTTGCCATATCGCTTTGATCTTGGATAATTTTTGATCATTTTGGATCATCTTCGATAATCTTCGATGCCTTGTCTCCCACCGTTTTATCTTTTGTCGAAGTTTCACCACACTAAGGGAGGAGAAGAAGAAGAGAAAGGAGGAGAACGCCATCCGTGCCGGCCAATACCAGGCCCTTACAGGGGGTGCGGAGATACCGAAGCCTGAAATGCCGACGACGTTTTTTACCCCCAAAGAAGGAACGCAACACACAAAGGGACACAGAATCTACAAAGACTATCAAAGACTCTCAGAGATGTTGAATCTTCTGAATCGCTCTAAATCCCCTCAGGGAGTTGGTCGTTTTGAAGCAGACCACAGGATTCCAAGCGGCAGCCGTGATATGGGATGATATGGGGACCCATATAGTTTCTGAACCATGCTTCAAGGATCTTCAATCCCCTGGATTTGCAGCGAACGAGTGATCGACTTCGCGTCATCCTCTCACGGACGTGCCCCGTCGACGCAAAAAGGAACCGAAAGAAGGACGAACCGAGCGCCTGTGTAAGTAAAAATATATATAGTGAAAAGTGTTGGGACATGTGTGTGTTTTTTCAATGTTTTTCATAGATTGACTAAATCATACTAAATCCTGCCAGATCTCAATGCAAACTACACTTGTGTGATTACAATTGTAAACTGTACCGTGAATTCAGCAATCTCTACCAGTGCCGTGAATTCGGGTCTCGTTCACAGCACCAGTGAAGGTCCCCATGAACTTGTTGATCGAACATCCTGTGTTCAAACCCTTTCACACAGGGGACCAGGACCCGCAGGTGAACGGGAACCTGTCCTATGCCCTAAGCCCTATGCCCTAATTCAAACTTGCCAGGTCATTAAGAAAACGGAGAAGATCCGAAAGTGGCACAAGAATGCCAGGAGAGTCAGCCAGCGCCCTGTGGTGGAAAGAAGGAAGACCGGACATTTCCCAAGAGCGACGACCTCTCCTGGGGCAGGTCCTTTACTAGGGGCCATCTGAGTCATTGATATATATATATATAATATAGGTTGTTGACATGTTCTTCGCCAGATCCGTTATCACATGGTGCCTGAGGGGGTCAGGTGGGGACTGATTATTAGCATATAGTGGAATTTGCATGGCATCTGCAGTTTGCAAATGCATGCCAACTGGACAACGGAACCTGGCTTTTGCCTATAGCACTATAGCTATCCCCTCAGCTGCTTGACCGCGTTTGAAGGCAGGTTTGCCACTTGATGGGCCTCATGCATTTTTCCATAAGACCAAATGAGAAGAGGAATCAGAACATGGCAATGGCAGTGGCAATGGCTAGATGACAGGTTGTGAAAATAGCACGAAAGAAAACTTCTTTCCACTCCCAGATCCATGTTTAGTTCCAGGAATTGGAATACATATTGGAATCTATCGGGTCCTTCACCCAAAGACACGACGCCACAGCACAGCACTATCCATACCGTCCCACGACTCGTCTCCCTTCGTCTCGACGGCCGTCTTTGGTCTGCAGGAAGATGCTCCGAACCATGGGTCCGGAGCAAATTGAGCGGCTCATGAACAGCCAGCGATGAGGTCCGGACCCGCGAAGGGACGGACACCAGGGTGATGAGGTGGTCCAATGGCGTTGGGGACCGGGGTGACCATGTTTTTGTTCGGGTTGTTGGGGGCAGAGTGGTGTGGGTCTCGTGTTTCACTAACCCCAATCATCACATACAAGAGGGTTTCACTAACCCCTGTGGGTCTCGTGTTTCACCTCATGGGTCTTGTGTTTCACGTCACCCATCATAGACCTCCTTCAACGTCGATCCACCGGTCCACCGCCATGCGACGCCTCCGATGTAAAGCGCCGCGGACCAAGGGATTTGAATCAACCCTTCACCCAGATGAAGAGGTGGTGCAATCCAGCATATGATCCTTTTGAATTCATCGTGTTACATGGTCTTGGATGACCAGCATCGATGATCCATCCACTGTTTGTTGTTGAGAAGTTCAGTCTTTTTTTTCCTTGTCCCAAACGCAGCAACGTAGCACATGTCCCACCTCCCTCCGCTGCATGTTGGTCAAAGTGTTTGCCCTGTCGTCGGTGTCCGCGGCGTGGTGAAAACGGACCGAAGCGCTGCATCAACACCCTTTCTGCTCGTCCCCTTCAGACGCCCGTCTCGTGAGGTCGAAGGATGGTCTCGTGAGGTCGAAGGCTGCCCCGATGCACTCCCATGCACTGCTAGGTGAGCTGCGAGTCAACCACTGCGCAGACCAGTCTGAGCTTCGTTTCACCGGCGAGTCGGGCCGAAAGCCGCAGAGAGGGCGAAAGACCGGAAAGTTCAATCATTCTAATTTTCATCGTCCTAATATCCTGATATTAATGACCTCATTAATATACTTTACTGGAGTTAGTCACACAAAAACATTACTCAAGAACGGAAACAACCAGGTTTTACTGGGTCTTTGGTGGACTTGTAGGGTAATATTCTACAATATTCCGCTTCTATTGTTCCAGCTAGTGTTCCAGCTTGTGCAAGTTGTGCCATTCTACAGTCCTCCCAAAGACCTGTCAGGCTCAAGGATAGAGATGAAAAGGTTGGTCATGTACTTGAGGCAAGGGGTGACAAAACATGACAAAACAGTACGCAGCTGTATGAAAACACCTGTGCGCCATCCTAAGCCTAACACAACATGCTGTTTCAGGAAAGGGTCAACGACGAACCACGGGCGTTTGAGGATTGGTCCAACTTGGGAGTTTCAACTTTGGGATCCAAGGTCACCGATACCCTCCCACGTCCTGGCCTCCCTAACCTCCATTTTCACCCACTGGGCGTTGATACAGCAGGTCACCAATACGGTCCAACAGACCCGGGTCACTGATCAAGCCCAACGACGGCACGAGGCCACGACTCTCTCTCACTCTCGCCGTCGATCGCAGATGTGCTGCATGCCTAAGCCGGCTGAAACCGCGAGTCGCTTCGGCTTTGGTGGTAAAAGGACGAGGGTGAAGATGGCATGACGGTGCGCCACCAGGCTTTTGCAAGATGGTGAGTCAATTTTAGTAACCAGATCCAAATGACCCAAAAATGGAGGTCCCGACTCGGAGGTCCAGTGTACCACAGGATCGCTTTTCCACAACGAGGTACAGCGTTCGATACGAAACGCGGTAGTGCCGGCTGAAGCCACGCGGTGCCGATGGTTTTGGGCTCCGGTCCCTCCAGTCGAGGGCGGCGGACAAGGGGCCACAGTTCTGCCATGGCGATGTATTTGTTCCCTGGCAAAGTGGCACCTTATGCAGCTGCAATCCTGGTAAATCTCGCTGTGGCCCTCGCCTTTCATCCCTTGAAACCTTCCAAAGAAGAGCAACTACACTTTGCCTTGGCACAGATTTGAGAGCTCGAGGCAAACGTTTTTCCCCATGTATTTTCATATTTTTTCATGCTAGTGCAGGATCCCTTTATACAGGTCTTGTTTGTTTGCCACCCAGATCGTGGAGGCTTACTCCCCTGCAGCTTAACATGGAACCCCAAACCCATCCAAACCCACTTGGTTGGTATTTGTAAAAATTGTCGAAAGCACAGGTCAATTCTCAGGTTCCATGGGATCGTTTGCGGGAGGTTTAAGAGTCTTGAAGCAACACACATGTCACAAGACCCATTAAACGAGCTGTGTCAACTAAGGCGACCTTATGAAGAGGTTCAGTGTGCTTGGTTGGACACGTTGGCGTTCTACGTCCAGATGCTTGGTTACGAACCAGTTGTAAGGTCGTCTTTTCCAAGGTATCATTTGGTGAGCTACTTTCAGCTGCTGCTACTTGCAGGATCGTGCAGCTGTTACCTTTGCAAGACCCTTAGCCCTCATGCGATCCATCTTAACCCATAGCCACTGAGGATGGCTGCTAGCCTCGGAGCTGCTTGGGCTGCTGCTTTTCTGTGGAACAAAGCCGGAGCTTTGCGGCATGCTATGTCAGCCGTGGGTTATGCGGTCATGATGCTTGCCTTGACTTTCAAAGTCCCAAAACCTTTGCAACTCCTGCCGTGTGAGTTTGGTGATGCGTGAGTTGCTGAATAAAGTGTCAACTGTAAAATAATTAGGTCGAGGTGAAGACGTCAAGTAAAGCAAGGAACATACCCCACTGAAAGCCAACATAGACCCTGCAAACCACTGGTTTTGTAGAGGAATACAGTCTTTGAGGGTGCGTCCATGTTAGTTTTCGGGAGTGTGTTTTCGACTGGGCTGCTGTGTGGGTCCTTTTTTGTGCCAAGGAATTGGTTGCAGTCCGTGTTGATGACACTCATGGTGGCTGCCAAGCCTTGGGGCTGCCGTTATGGCGTTTTACCACATTTTGCCACACAAAGCATCGAAGAATTACGTTTGACCTCAGGTTCCTTTGAGGTGCATTGGGAGTTTTTGAGTCCGTTGAATATGATTTTTTGGATGCGCATGCTGGCCTATTTGGCAGCGGTGATTTGGATGCAATGGCTTCTTGAGAGGCGGATTCACGTTTTCGAGAAGTCTTCCGGGCGTGAGTACGGTGGTCGCTGGGTGTTTCGCCTTTTGCAATTCCAAGCGCTGTGGGTCTTGGGTGGCACTCTGACGGTTTGCCCTGGGATTGCCTTGAACCTCATGCCATCTACACGGGCTGTGGACTTGATGCTCAGCATCGCGTGCGTGTTGGGGCTTGCTGGAGGGGCTATTTTCATGGCGGCCAACCTACTTTCAGCGGCCATCGCTATTGGGGCGCTTTGCCACATCGTGGGTGACTTGAACCAGGCACGGAAGCGGAACAACACACCCGTCCCTGTGAAGAAACGCTTGGAAGAGGCCTGGCGAATCAACCTATGGCAGACAGTCGCAGTGGCCTTGAGTCTGTTTCTCTCAGTGGGTTTGTCCCCCGCAGTGCTGTGGCAGGTTCACATGACTTTCAGTTTCGATATGAAAGCTGTCCAATATCCAGCCGAGCACATGACCTCAGTCCTCGTGGGCGTCTCAGTGCAGGTACTGGACGTGCTCGGGAATGCGTTGGCGGTCATCTTGCTGTCAGGCACCTATCGAGTAATGGAATCTGACCGTACATGCAACTGCCCCACCAGCAGCTGTTGCTTCAAGCGACATCAAATGGACCCGAGCTGGAGGAAGAAGGTGGAGGAGTGTCAAAGCGAGGGATTACACTAAACGGCTTGCTGAAGTTCTATGAAGAGGACCTTCGCCTCCTTGAATGGCAATACCAGCCAGATGAGCACCGCACTCGCGATGTGGTTCGTCGGGCCATCATTCCCCTGACCGCCGGTGAAAAGACGTCTTATGCCACTTCGAGCTACAACCGAGACAACGCACAAAGAGCACGGATCATGGTGACGCACAAGTGGGATAATCTCTTCAAAGACCTTCTGGCAGCAATCATGGCCAATGCACTGCAGGAGTGCAGCTTCCAGGTAGTAGCCAAGATGTTGAAGGAAGACTTGCCGCTCCTTCGCAGCATTTTGGAGAAGACTGGCCGCTTGAGCGACATCTACTGGGTCTGTGCGTTCGCTGTCAATCAACATGTTTCGCTTTGTCAAACCAAGAAGTACGACAAGGATCCCATTTCGAATCAGTTGCATCCAACTTGCAACTGCGGTTGCACCAACATTGAAGACCCCGATGGGCACCACCTGGAGTCGGAAATGAACAAATTCGATGATATGATGAGACACCTGGCGAGCACACCGGGAGGCTGCAAGCTTGGCAGGACACTCTTGTTTTCCTTTTTGTGTTTTCCTTCTGGTAAAGCGCTCTCTATACCAGAAAGAAAAATACAAACTGTGAAAACATAGGTCTTTTTGGGTATCAGTTTCCCCCCCGTCAGAGTCTGACGGGGGGGAAACTCTCGCAATTTTTTTTTAGTTTTTGGGTGGGTTCGGACTCGCCACTTCGGCGAGTCCGAACCCACCACCAAATGTTTAAGACATTCTCTGGTAGTTTTCCTTTTTGTGTTTTTTCTTTCTGGTATAGCGCTCGCTATACCAGAAAGAAAAAACACAAGGAAAACTACTAGAAAAAAATCCGAAGTTTTTTTAAAAGAACTTTGGGAATTTTTTCTGGTAGCTTTCCTTTTTTGTTTTTTTCGAGCTATACCAGAAAGAAAAAACACAAAAAGGAAAACTACCAGAAAAAAAGGCAAGTTCTTATATCAAAACCGGACGTTTTGTTTAAAGAATCTAGCAATTTTTTCTGGATCGTTCGATGGATCTCTTCCAACGCGCGTGGTGTATTGCAGAGATTGCTGAAGCCAAGCGGCATGGCATGCGCCAGAGCCTCAAGCTGGTGTCGAAGCAAGGGTTGCTACAACACAAAGACTCGCTTCGGAAGCTGGATATTGAAAGAATGCATTGTTATAAGGAACATGACCGCGAGGTGATCCTGAAAAGGATCAAAGCCTACGTCTCCATCCCCCGCTTCAATGAGCAATTGCAATCCCTGATCTTTGACCCAAGAGCAGGCCTCATTAGCTCGGAGATTGAGCTTCTTGTGTGGCCACCCAACCATTGTTTTGAGACCTTTTGGTAGCATTTTCCATGCATGTTCCTGCCAAGAAAAATAGAACAACACAAACACAACAAAAACACCTATCTATGACCAACCACTCTTATTGAGGCTTTACTAATTTTAAAGTAGTCTGCGGCATCTATTTGCTTGTTATAGTATTCTCTTGTGAACGAGATAGGCCCCACATAAACGAGATACTTTTGCTCGAGACACTAAAGTCGTTTGAACGAGATAGTGTGATCTGCTACTAAAGTAGCCTGAACAAGATACTGTGACATGACCTCCTACTTAAGTAGTCTAAACGGGATAGGGCCCCCACATAATAGATAGGGTGTTTGAGTTTAGTACCAAATAACTCCCGTCGCAAATATAATACACATCATGACACATCCGACAAAAACAGTTGCTTTTCGGCATGTTTTTCAGGCCTAACACAGTTTCTCATGTCCCGTTTTTTCACCTGCAGGCCTTGTGAAGTCTTGGGAGGACTCCGACAATTTGGAACGGATGGGCGAAGCGGGCCGTTGGCTAAGATGGAGTTCAGCAGATGGAACAGCGGAGGTCTGGAGGTTTTGGAACAAGGAGGATTTGGGTTCCAGTTCGAACAGATCCAGATCGAGCAGCGCAGACCCTTGGAGACCTATGGACAATTCTTCGGACTCGGACTCCGAGACCGCCGAGTCCGCTTCATCGCCGAGCGCTGCAGATTCTTCGGAAAGCTGACGGAAAACACCGGGCCTTTTTTTGGGGGCAGCAGCTGGTGGCGACACGCGGTGCGGTGCGGCAGCTGGTAGCTGGCGGTCGTGGGGCCACGCGGCGCATTCTTGGATACATGAGCGCAAAAACCTCATGTGACATGTGGTGACCTTCTCTTCTTTGACTCTGGAGAGAATTAGAGGATGCTTTGTGTACTCTCTCTTCGGAAATGAAAGCTCGGGTTGTACAGGTCGGTCTTCAGGCGCTCTGGAACGCCCAGTGGTCGGTCTTCCCAGGGAATCCTCGGACTCCTGAGTTTGGAGCAGAACTCTTGAAACAGTGACCCCAACAAAACTACCCCAACAAACTCCATGATGTTTCTGTCATGAGGCCCATAACTCATGTATATTATAATGCTCATATTTAGTGTCCCGGAGTCCCTATACACTTGAACATGGTGCGTTGGTCCTCGCTCCACCCGACTGAATGAGTTGGTCCTTCGAGTTGGATCGGCGGTGGCTTCGGAACTTTGGGAACACATAGGAATGCGACAAATCTTTCTTGCTGAGAAGATTTCAACTTATTTCCACAGCATTCCTCAAACCTAGCTCTCAGCTCAACCTTGAAAAACCTAAAGAAAACCACCACCTTTTGTGGCGCTGGGTCACCGCAGCCGTTGTTGCACCGGTCGTGGGTGCTCGTTGGAGCGCGGGGCGCTTTGGGTCTCGGCGCGCTCTTCTTTCGCGGGAGGCCCTCTCGGATTGGGGGAGGCGCTCTCGATTGTTCCACCGACCTGCAGTCAGGCTTCTACCTCATCAGGGGGTTTAGGATGGTTTAGTTGATACTATCCAATTATTTGGTTTTGCTGAAGTTGATCTTTTCTTTTTTAATACATGGTTAATCATTCTAAATCACCTTCCGGTGTTTTGTTTAACACAAAAGAATCAAGGTTCCTTAAGCAAAATCCAAGTCAACCAGAAGGCGTGTTGTCCGACATGTCTCATCGCCTCCTAGTGGGTTCTGGAGAACTTTTGCCCCCCCAAAAATTAGCCAATTGACAAAGTTTACACGTAACATCACCACAACTACATAACTAACATGACCATGTGAATGATTTTGATTTAACTACCCGGCTGGAATGACTCCCGTAGCACTCAAGGGAAGACCTCCAGAACCTCCACTAATCTGGAGGCTTTGAACATGGCCTTTCTGGGTTTAGGGTAGTCTTTTTGAATCTGAGGCTTCTTGAAGTGGTGGTTTACCTCACATTTCTTCCTTTCACGCGGGGGATTTCACCATCACCACTTCAGCCAGTGCTATCTCCCGTCACGACCCTCCCTCCCCAGTCGTGGCGCTCGGACCCACACCAGCTCTGGGGCGGCTCGGTGCAGGGCGGGACGAAGGGGTGGTTCCAATGCAAAAAGCACTAACCCTAGGGATCCAAGTACCTTCTCAGAAGGTGTTCGGGGTGGCTGTGGAGGGTCCAAGTGCTTTCTAAGAAGGTACTTGGATCCCGAAATTAATGGACTGGACGTTTTAGAGGCGCAGAATGGTTGGACATGCGTTCCAGGACCTCCACGGAGAAACAGCTGGTGACCCGACTTGTTGCAGGATGCACTGACGACAGCGAAGATGAGCGACATGTTTATCGACTCACGCCGCACCCTCGCTGCAGGGTGCGTCGTTGTCCTGCCACCATGCCTGGTGTCGATGACTGCGGCCGCTTGGTACAGTACCTTTCAGCATGTGGGCGTGCAGCATAATAGGGAGATCCAACCATTATTATTGATACAATTTCCAGGGCTCCAAGTACCTCCTCAGAAAGTATTTGGAATCCTCTAAATCCTTCCCAAACACCTTCTAAGAAGGTACTTGGAGCCCTAGGGAATGGGTTTTGGCCGATATTCCTTCTTCCCCGGGGTTCTCTCTGCGAGGTCTGCCTATTTGATGCACACATCTTTGATATAGATTCAGCTTCAGGACTCATGAGTCCATGAGTTCTGAGCGGGTGTGGATCTGTTTGAGCCACAAACCTAAAGACATCTACAGACACCCCTTAGATATAGTTGGTGAAAGGGGCAAGGGTCTTCTTGGTTTTCGTTGTGGAGTCTTCTGAAAAGCCCATGCCAAAAACCCATCGTTCTCTTTCTTTCGCTCGGCGTTTGGCTTGCCGGTTGGAACAGGTCGAAGGTCGCTTTGCTGCCTTTGGCCAGCACATCCATGGTGCCTGGCTAGCAGACCCTGGGCGGGCCGCGCCGGCCCATCTAATCATATATAGGGATCTCCGTTTTGGTGGCCATTCTGGGGCTTTTGATTTCACCACTCCTTAGGGGTCGCTCTGACCACCGGTCGCCCGCCGGTCGCCCGGTCGCCCATTCGCCGACGTCGCCGACGTCGCCCATTCGCCCGAGATACGAAGTCCGTGGGGTCCACGACCTCCAAGTCTTCCAGATATTCGGTGCGAAGCTTGATGTCCAAGGCGCTCGTGGGAAGCGCGGAGACCGCTCGCTTGTGCTGTGCGGTAGGGTCAAGGGCGAAGGTCGATGGTCGAAGGAAGGACGGAAGAAACACCGGGTTGACCGAAGTGAGTACACGCACCTGTGTGGATCTGTGTGGTACCTGGAACATGCCATCCGCTTCCACCATGATTCTTCCAGGGAGTGCATGCAGAGACCTATATGGGAGACCCTCCATGGGTGCAAAGCCAACGAGTGTGTTTTCACGGCAGTTCTGAACATTCTGGCTGTGGCAGTGTTGAGGACGCCATCTTTTTGGGGTGACACGTATGACACGCGAAGTCTGGACTCCTTCAGCTCGTGGCCCAAAGGAAAGTCAGCCGACTTGATGCCAGTTTTTTGTTTTTGATTGTTGTTCTTCTATATACAAGCATAAGTACAATGTTGTACTTACTGGCATGTACTAGCAGCAGCACCCCCATCCCTGCAGTTCTACAGTGAGTGGCCAACACTTGAACCGGGCCGTGATTTTCCTTGCAATATGTATCGAAAAAACAGCACACACACATCGTTTGGTATTTGCCAGGTGGCGATGACGGTTTCCTCCTAGCATTTGGGGCTCAGGACTTTTTTTGCCTCCATGTCTAGCTAAGTCCACTTACAACCACTTGCCACGTTGGATTCTCGTTGAACCTAAGTCCACTTACAACCCACCTAACCAGATGCAAGTCATTTGTAAAGTGTGCATCACTTATAACTCCATGTCTTTTGACATGAAGGGTCTGAATCTTCACGCCGCTGCCGCCTTTGTTGGAGTCGAGTGGCAAGCCGCCGCAGGCGTCGTCAGTGTCCGCCTCGGTCAGAAAAGGCCGTGGTCGGTGTGGTCGGTGGTGGTCCGGGGAGTTGTGGGGTATTGGTGTGGAGGCTCGACAGAAGGGAAAACATGGGAAATCTCTCACATGTGCAGGAGTTGAGGCTCTTTCAGTTGATCTTTGCAAATGGAGGAGGTATGAGATTTGAGGAGTTTGGGATGTGTTGGGTATTCGGTATTCGTCAAAGATGGTGAGTTGCTGCTTATCCTGAAAGTGTTTGCTGATGTGAACTTGCTTCGATAGTAGTTGGATGTGGGTGTTAAACTGAGCGTGGCTAAGCTGGATGAAGAGAGACCTGCTACCTTTGGTGAAGACTATACCAGTGGATTGCACCATTCTTTGTAGGAGTAGGAGGAGGCCTATCATCTATAGTAAGATCTGTCGGTTCCTTGTTGTGTAATGAACAACAATATGCCATCATGCCGATCCATTCTTTCATCCCTAGAGAACCATACTGAAAACATCTGAAAACCTTCAGTCATCTCTGAAAGCAGCGACCATCTGGCTGTGGGTCAACACTCGGACCTCTATATAATCCCTAGTAGATTGACCTCCCTAGTTCTCTGTTGGGACAAGTCTGGGGGTCAGACTGAAAAAGTGCTATGACCACAGACCCACAGCATCTCACAGGCAAAAAAAACCAGAAACCAATTCAACCTCCCCCATTCGCCGCGTTGGGCTTCGTGGCGCTGCGCCGCCGGAGGCCTCAGCAGCTTCACGCCGTCGATGCGGAAGACGACCGCCTCAGTGGCGGCCATGGTGGATGCCCGGATGCCCGGTGGATGGAACAGGTGCCCTGGTGAGGTGGATCCATTGGGGCGGTTGTGGGAAGAAGAATGGGATGCGGGAGTGTTTTGCCAGAAGTAGATCATACAGGTTGATCCGTTGCAAGCCACACATCGAAAGCATTAAAACCATCATTGAGGATGTTTAAAGGTAGATGATGTTGATCATCTCGAGGATCTAAACTAAGGGGGGACGAGGCCACTCAGTACAGCCTGACATGTTTCTTCTCCCGAGCTTCCGTGTCAAATGTGTTGCCAGTGCCCCAACTCTCAACACGATCAACTAAGAAGAGGCCCTTCTCCTGCTATGCTTTAAGCGCCCAAGCAAAATATATAGATGAACACAAGAATACACAAGATCCTTGACACTTCATTCCTTTACAACAGCAGCACATTGGACTAATTTTGACTGGTGCGGTTATACCGCCATCTGCAGCAACAACCATCTCAGATGTACATCTAGGACATGAAGATGCGCTGCGCAGATTTTTTTCTCTGCGCCCATAGCAACTTTCTTCAGAATCTAATCTGCTCACATCATACATCAGAAGCCCGGACCCTTTTCGATGGGGCCAATGCGGAGCCTCAAGGGGCAGTTCTTTGACCTTTTTTGGCCACGTACTAGCTAACCATGAGAGATGGACCACGCCTTCTCCATCTCCAGATGCTACCGGCAGATGGCGGCATAGCTCCATTTTCGGAGGTCGGCTATAGGCCACCCATCTCAAGACCAGCCCCCACATCTCAAGACCTGTACAACACGAGCTCCTTCTCCTCGCACTCCTCGCCCTCCTCGCCCTCCCACCCCAGTTGGCCCCGGGAGATGTCTGCGAGACCGCCTCGCTGGTGACCTTGCGCTCGGAGGACCGGAGATGTTGCGCTCGGTTTCGTTCGATCGGAGGCGTTCGATCGGACGGGGCGTGGAGTCTTCGGTGACGGCACCCAGACGAAGTCTTCGGTGACGGCGTTTTTCGGAAACCGATGGAATGGAAGGTTCGGCGCACCTGATGGGTTTCGGGAGAATCTATGATAGTCTATCTTTTTCATCCTTTTTGGGCAGGAGGTGAGGTGATTGCAGAGATCCAAGGTTTGCGTGGAGTAATTAGGTGATTTGAAGGTCAATGGTGTTTCTTCTGGTCGGAGGTAGCTAGATTCAGAGATATTCAGAGGCAAAGGGGCTCCGGGACTCTTCGATGCACCGCTAGACGTAGGCCATTGGCCATTTGTCCATCATGGGTACCCTCGCACTCCGGACACCTCTTGGTTCATGGCAGCTGCTACAGGAGAGCTTGGATAGTGCACTGGTCCTGGAAGTGCCTCCGGGGCAGACATTGGAGGTCGTTGAGGCCAGATTTACGACGTGATTCCAAGATCTTACTGTAGTTGATTTGGATTCTCTCCTTCTCTGATCTCTGCGCTTTTGATAGGTTTGATTTTAATCTGGACAAACACGAACCACGTTCAAAGCATCAGTCAATATCAGCTGGTTTCCTTTTGTCGCGGCGGTTGTTGGTGTCATTTGCTTTGCCCAAAAACGCCTTCGACTCACGGGTCGAGTCGCGAGTCTTCGTGGTTCGGTTCAGCCCGTGGTTCGCTACGCGTTCCGTGCCGTCGACTGCAGGTTGGCCAGGGTCGGCGGATCAAGGTGAAGAATTCGCAAGGCAGAGAGCCGAGAGAGAGCGAGAGCGACGGGGGAAAATCAGCAGAGCTGGCGAGCTGGCTTGCTTTGGCGATCCGGCCTTAGGCTTTGGGAAATGTCAGGGTGGCATTTTTGCCACAGTGACATGCAAAATTAGTTTCCCGTGTACAGCTGTTGGTGTCATGCACAGGTGCTGTGCATCTTAAAAGCCATGGAAGTGTGCTTTTGAGGACTACCCAGTCTTTGTGCCATGCTGTGCCATACCGTGATCGCTTTTTCATTCCTGGCTTTCTTTGTATAGTGATGGGGTATGCCAGCTGGCTTCCACCAGGACCAGTTCCTGACCTCTGTGGAGTCTCTGTTTGTGACATTTTGTGACCGTCACTGTAGGGACCAGTCGTTGTTCCTCAGCCACTTGGGGTCTCAAGTTTTTCTGTCACGAACTGAAAGTCCTGGCTGTTCTCAGCTGTTCTCAGTTTCGGTACTCGCTGCCTTTCAAAGCCCCTTTCTTGCTGACGCACGCGATATGCCGAGGCTCGAATTCTATCGAATTCTCCTACATGTTCAGAGGAACATTTGCAAAAGCTGGTGAACATGACAGGTATTTACCTGTGCTTTGGGTGTTTTCATTGACATCGCTTTCAACCGCTTGACGTCCGTCCAGAGGGAGCCGCTCGCCGCTCGACCCTCCGTTCGGCGTCGCGTCGAGGTGTGGAGGGGTGGATCAGTTCCAAGACCAAGCTGAACGAGCCCTTGGTGATCAAGCGCCCGGTCTCCCGACGACCGGCGACTGAAAAAAGGAACGACGCGACAGGACGAACGGAGAAGAGATGAGCGAAGCAGCTAAGCAGCTAAGCAGCTAAGAGAGATGGGAAGGTCTTTGATGGTTGCTTGGGATTTGTTGGTTTGTTCGCTTTTGGAGGGAATGGATTGTGGGTGTTCAGAGGTGTTCAGAAGGTTATCGGAAATCAGGTCTCTTCTTGCTCTAGTCTAGGCCTCAAGAGTATAGGTGCAACACTCCACACTGAATCACTGATCTCAGACTGCCCGGCTGAGGGAAGAAAGAGATGGAGGAAGCAATGGAAGGATGGGAACCCAAAAGCACACATGAGGTGCGGAAGGGAGCGTCGTCGCGACACGTGGGGCCATCTTCGCGGCACGGAGGCCATCGTGGGTGTGGTGGGTGTCGTGGGCGCTTGGATCACACATGTAGGACATGCAGGGTGATGGAACTGGGCCGTATCTATAGGATATATATATATATAGGGATCAACCATCGTTGGTCCGTTCCCCATACCTGGCGAGCGAGAGTTGCCAGTGGCAAGCAACCGAAAAGGATGCAAGTGAGTTGCCAGTGGCTGATTGCCAATATTCATCAATATTCACCACGGCCGAAAATGCGCCGCGCTAACAAGCGCTGAGTCGCTAGCCGCCGGTCATGCGCATCAAACATTTGATGCATTGGACAGGGCCTGATACATAGAAGACCAAGCAAGGCCCTTAGGTTTTCAACCGAAACGCAAAAACATACAAAATCATTCTTGGACCGCGGCCAGATGTACATTTGTTGGTCCATTAATTCTGGGAACAAGGAGACGCCCCTTGACGCCCCTTTGTCCAACAAATGAGTTTCTTCTCATACAAAACTTGCAGGGCCGGGATCTTTGTCCATTGTAAACTCAATCATGTTTTATTTCAAGTGGGGTCGAGTGGAAGAAGGACAAAAGTCCTTTGTGATGCCAACGGTGCGTGAGGGCTGGCTGCCAATTATGTTGATCCTTGATCTCCAGGTCAAATCAGTTGTCACAGTCCGGCAGGGGATCTCAGTGTGGGTGAGCGAGCAGAGCGCTTTCATGAAGAATTCAAGAGAACTGATTTAATTACGGTGATGGCACAGACCCCAAGATGTCTTTTAGGTGGGGGCCATAAAGAATGACCAAACTTAGGGATTGTACATGATTGTACCATCTTCTCACGACTCTGAAACCACTGCACTAGTTGGCTCCATTCCATGCCTCAGGCAGAGACCCCAAGAAGTTTCTCTGGTTGATCAGCTGATATGACATGCGTTTGGGTCAAAACCTTGAGCCCTGGTCCACCATGTAGATTGACCTTGCAGGTAGGTATAGGTAGACCCACAGCCACATAGTACGAGATAGTCCCCCTTGGATCCCCTTGGTGACCTCCCTCAGATGGATTTCTACTTTGAGTTTGGCACGTGGGTGGTGAGTCTTTCTCGTTTTACCTCACGTTGTTGAAAGGCAACAACACCAAATCGAGATCTTCCGTGAAGCTCTGGTTTTTCGGTGCCCAAAACACCCAGATCGACGACATGAGATGATTTTCTGGTCGGTGGACCTGGGAAGTGAAACAAAGGGTCCACCCAGTAAAGACTATAGACATGCCCATTCGCAGGGCAGCGCAGCAGAAAAGTGGATCACCTTTTAACATTTTGTAACGTTTATCAGTTTTGTAGCATTCTTTTTTCGGGTGGATTGGGGCTCAGGGGTTGTGTGCCAGTGACCAGGCACTTGACCAGGCTTTCGAGCCTTTTGAACTTCAAACAAATTGTCTTGCAACTCACAGTAGGTCAACCCATTCATCAGACCCCCCCCGAAAAGAAGACCAGTGGATTTTGGGGGGAATGAACCACAATACACGGATGCTCCCAAAAAGACGTAAACGCCTCATAGACTCATATTGTCCATCATCATCGTCGTTTTCTTCTTTTTGAAGGACCGGTGAAGCGCTGGACAGCGACGTCATCGGAGAGTTGAAGCCAGGCGAGGTCTGAGGTCAGCCGATCCCATCGCCGCCTGGCGTGACGGACGCGGGCCTGGCGTGCGTGATGGACGGTGGACGGACGGACTCGTTGATCTGGACTCATTCCGGATGGTTGGCCCCACCGAAAGCAGCAAGTCCAATGGTGATGTGTGACGGCGTCTGTTCTCGGCGAGGTGACCTGCAGGTCCTCTGCACCAAACCTCGAGTGGGAAGGAAAGGAGATGAGCATGCCCTTCCTTGGGGTTCTACTCACTTTGAGACTCATGTAGAGTCCTGGGGTCCCACAGTCAGTGCTCAATGGAATTTTGGAATCTGCAGTCCTTTGGCTTTTCAGATTCCGACCAAACCCACATATCGAATATATGATTGAATTAGATTGAATCGAAGAGGCAACCAACAGCGAGCCGCGGCAGAACCGCGGCAAAACCACCCTCCCAACGACATCTCAGACGAAGCGCAGACGTGAAGCCGTTTGACGGGACCGGAGCCGACCGCGGACAGCGGGCGTGGGATCGATCGTTGGAAGGACGCTGCGGTTGGGCATCCGGAGCGCACCAACTCCGAATCGAGCGATTTTCACACCAAGTTAGATGATGGTAGTGATGATAGTAGCATGGGTCTTTGCTTATAATGACTTAAAAAGGTGCCTTTCCTCACACTGGCTTCTGTTGGGTTGGCTTTTGTGGCATGTTTGAGTTTGAGCCGCAGTGCTAAAACAAACATCAATGTAATTTTGTAGCTTCTTGCTGCGTTCGTAGCGATGCCCTTTGTTCCTAGTAGCTTCTTGTTACTAGTAGAAGTGCCAGGAGCTACGTTCGTAGCTTCTTACTCCGTGGCTCAAGGGTTTTCAGATCTGACGATGGGACACGATGGGACGTCTGGGCGAAGGAATGGGTGAGGTGAGTCGACATCATGCAACACATTGTGAGGTGAGGACGGGGCTTCCCTTCGTGTAACGCAAGACATGCCCATACCATAGATGTTCCAAGAAAAATCCAGACAACACAGATGTCCCGTTGTTGTGATGATTTCTTCTGGTCCTTTTTGCCTGACATCCGTAGTCCATATACATCCATGATGTCCTTGGCGACCTCGCCGGTGGCGGCTTTCCATGGATCAGAAACCGTGTCCAAGGCATTAAGGTCAAAGAAGTTTCTATCGCAACAGAGGTTGAAGCACCTTATATACTATCCCAGCTCTGTACCCCAGGTGACGGGTCCTATTTACGGTCACTTAACTTCTCTTGGTCTCTTGGGCACAGAAAGCGGTGCGATCTTGTTCTCAATGCATCACTTCTTGGAATGTAGATTCAAGTCACCGGCGTCGAACAGCCAAGCTCCCACGACATTCGATGCCAGTCGATGCCAGTCGATTCATCAAAAACAAAACTCTCGAAAAACACGCAGATTTCTACCAACACCCGAAGGTTCATTCCCATCCCCATGGATCCACATTGACATACTTTCTGAGAAGGTATATAATTGGACCCTCCAAGTAAATAGTCTCCAATCACCTTCTCAGAAGGTATGTGTATCCACAGGGCATGTTCATGTGATTCTTTTCTGCATTGTCTTGTGTCTCATCACCACCTTTTTTTGCCTCACCTCTTCACCAGTCTCTTCACAAGTCTCTTCACCTACTTCACCTCGGCCAGGGGCCATCATCACCCTCAAGGAATTGGGAGTTCAAAACAAGCGTCGTGCTCTCGTGGATTCCGCTCCTCGTGCGAAAGCAGACGGTGGAGCGAATGAGTGTCGTGTTGGTCCATTGGGGCTCATATCAGGATAGGCAATATGAAATGGTTGGGAGTGTGAGTGGGGATTCTGGGGATGTTTGTTGACAGAAGACTGAGATATCAGTGTTTGGTGGACCAGCTCTTTTCATCTTGGAGGTTTGGGGAGAGACTGGTGACCTCTAGCGGTCGTTTCATTCTTCACCGTTTCGGTGCCCTCTGTTTTTTTTCAATCAGCTGACGATGTGTCTTCAAATGAATCAACGTCATGCATTTGATGTACGGCCGGCATGCGGTGAAACAGTCAACAGGCTGTACATGCTCAAGAGTTTGGTTGCAACTTATATGAGCAATGCGATGTAGATCGGCCATGTTCTACCGGATCCAACCCTGCTGTGGGTGGGCTTTATGAGCGAAGTAGATCCAGGCCGTCGTCTTGGTGCAATAGATGTTGCAGCCCATTGTTTTGCAACGCTCAGGGAGAAGTGGTTGGTTGGATCAGCTTGGTGTGCCTTGGGCCGAAAGGGTGTTTTGAGCTGAGCTGAGAGTCTCTCCAAGCGAAAGCACATATACAAGGGTTTGGGCCATGAGCTGAGCATCAGTTTGTCTGATACAATTAGGCCCAAGTAGAACCATTCTTTGGTTAGGCATTCGACCAACCAATGCCAAGATCCTACTTGTTTGGGTGGGTAGCCGCCTGACCGGATAGTTGAGTGTTTGACGATGAATGAGCATAGGGGTTCGTTTTTTGTTTTCGGGGACAAGAAGAACACCATCGGGGTGTTGACCAAGCAAACCCAAGAGAAACGGGCTTTGCTGCGCTTGGTCTCTCGATGTATATAACCCCATCAATCATGCGAATGTAAGCGCGGTGATACGTACCGTCGCGTAAATGACACCTCATGTGTCACTCGCCATGACTTTGGACTCAAGACTCCTCGCTTGCGAAAACACGTGTGACCGTGTGACGCGCCCCCCTTTGGTTGTACTGACGCACGTTCATGCGTTCGCTTGAGGTGAATCCAAGCTCTTTGATGGTACACAGGTGAACACCATCACTTACGGAGGTCATTGCCGAGGCTTTGATTGGCAGTGGGTCAAAACCTGAAGCTCCAAAGCCTGGTAGGTGGACCATGTTTGGTGATCTAGTCTGTTCATGTTCAGTCAACCAAGGTCCCCAAGTTTTGACCCACAGCCGTTGGTCATGCCGAGCCAGCCGAAGGTGCCCCGCTCGTCTCCACAAGGAAACGAAGGAGCATCCTGAGTCTGAGAGCACGACCTGGCAAGACCTTTTCTTGCTTCGCAACACTCGCCAATACTGGCTCAAAACTCCTTGCTACTGGAAACTTGTGTTACATGAGATTTGTTGTACTGACTGGGTTAGCACCCAATAAAACCTACTCACCCACCAAATCAACATGCAACTCCCAGACTTTGCACATGTTCTTTCCCCTGCCATCGCGGTCGACTTTCCAGACTCATGAGAAACCCACTTTTGCCGACCCTAAGGACGAAGACGGGGGAGCACCTGGTGGGGAAGAAAGGCGCCGAATTCGCCGAATTCACACTGCGGGCTACGCGGGGTGGTTCCCCCGAAAAACGCCTGCCTTGTTCATCCTTTTTCCGTCCAGAACGAGGTTCTCGGGTTTCTGGACGTTAAAACAAGTTGCCTCAGAGTAAGTGGACCAAACTGACAGGGTACCAGTAGGGAAAAAAGGGTCTCTATTTGGAGACGCTTTTCTTCGGAAGTCAGTTCATCCCCGTCCTGACCTCAGACCCGCTGTTGAGCTTTCCTATATAGAAGGACTCACTGACTTGCCAAAATTACTACTCAACTCATCTCAACTCTGTCAGTTTGTATCACTGGTGGACGAGGAGAACGGTTGCCAAGCTAAGGCCCCCGGTGCCAGTCGTACCAGTAGTCCCAGACACTCCAAGTCTGGAATCGCTTTCTTTGACCTCCCCAACATTGGAATAGGCAAGCATTTCCTTTTTTTTTAAGCCCGCTACCGCTCTCTCCCAATACTAATTATTAGTTGTCTTTTAGGCCGCTAGTAGAGGTTAGCTAGGTATGTAGCTAGTAGGGAGAGGTAGCTAGTAGCTTAAGTAGCTACTAGTATGGATGCAGGATAGCTCACGCTTCTTCAATTAAGCTCCCCCACAGCGGCGGGGAAGCTTCCTTGAAGAAGCGCTCGCACTAAGGATTTGGTTCCTAGATTTTAGGGAAACTTAACCAATACACTACGGAGTGGGGTTGGAAGTTGCGTTGGCACACACCCCACTGACAGAACCCCCGGGACAACTATCACACAAGTTGAGTGCATGGAATTTTGAATGCATGGAACTGCAGTGGTTTGGACCACCATGAGCTTGGAGTAGATGGCGCTAGAACCCTCAGTACCACCAAAGCAATTCTACATGAGGGTTGTGGTGTTGTTTGCTCTTAACTTGCTGTGGCTTAGCACAAAGTGCCACATTGGTGACTTCTCCTCCCTGCCAGTTGGAGCGAGTCCAAAGGACAAGAGCATGTGCAGCTCTCAGCTTGCCTTGATAAACCTCCAGGACGTCCAACCATATGTTGGGAAGAACTGGACTGGGCCTAGGGGGGCTTTGACCTGCCAACTGTCTTTCGCCCTGTCACCGTGGCGACGGGTACGCACTCGATGTCCAATCCAGTGAGGGAATGACATCCGTGCCACGTTCGTTTGGCAGGTCAAAGAGGTGGCACCACTTGCTGCGGCTTCATGCCAAATGGCAGATCCAATGGTTCCACTTTATTCAGGTCATGAAAAAGAACATCACAAGCTGACATGGTGCTTGATCCATTGGCCCCTATTCCATGGCAGGGGTCGGACCTGACACCAGGGTGAAGGTGCCTGGACCTGAACCAAACCTTTCCCGTGGGTGAAGGGGCCCGGCATTTTTCCTTGTAGGGTATATATAAGTCTTTTGGGCATCCCTCCTCACGCTCTCCTAGAGTTTTTGCTTATATAAGGTCCCTTTTTGTATTGTCCCGAACTGGGTCAATCCCCAAACCTGGGAATCCCAAACGGGCTCCAGTCGTACCTCCTCAGGTACGGTATATCTTTGGACCCGGCACCCACCCAGCTCAGTCCCGAATCCCGAAAGGCAGGCACGACTGGAGTGCGTAGAGCCGCCGGTCTCCGCCCGAGGTTCGGTGGCGGTGGAAGCAGCGGTGCCCGGGTGAAGGACCGGTCGGGGCGACGGGTGGAGCCCGGCCGGGTGGAGCCTAAGTACTACTCGTACGGCTGAAAAATACTTGCTAGCCTTCACTTTCTAGTTAAGAAAGTGACTATAGGTATGCTTACGGAAATGGGACATTCACATACTAATTGGACAACATACAGACATTCATGACTCATTTCTGTTTTTGGGGGTCGTGCTGTTGCAGAGTCGAACCAGCAAGGCCTTTTGGAACGGCCATGCATCCGGTAGAAGGAGCGCGAAGCTTACAGACCTCTCTGCATGAGGGTGCGGGTGAAAGCTCAGGCCTTCAAGGTTCCACTGCTGGGGGCTTTGGCTCTGGAACCCACGAAGTGCACTGCAATGAGGTGCAAGGAAGGCAGAAGGCACAACGGAGAAGTATGTTAGAAGGTCTGTTTGTCCTGTAGATCAAACCGCCTGAGATGCCTCATAGCCTCATAGCGTTTTGATCCCTTTTTGCACGACATTTTGCATGATCAACGTGTTCCTTTGAAATGCTTCCCGTGTTGCACGGTCACTTCTTCCCGTGGTTCCAAGTGGCGATTAACACACCGTGGCACCTCCCGAGTTGTGGAAGATCGATGTAACATGTAACGTAACTATCTAGATAAGTAAATCTACCCAGCTTGGTCTTTGGTGGTGTTTGAGGGTAAAAGGTCTGAATGAACATGTCTTAAAGAAACACTTGGACATGTCCCTTTGATATCCTTTGATGGGTCTTGATCTTTATAAAGGATATATATATATATACAAAGATAATAGTTCGATAGAGCTTTGATCTAGCGAAAGCTCTGGTTTCAAGCCTTTCGACCCATCGACCAAGTCGTTTGGTCTCCAGGACATGCTGGAAGCCTGTCGATGTGGAGATTTGGAAAAACTGCAGAAGGTGGGGCAAAACCTTGGGCCCCTGCTGTGGCATTTAGGCCCCTGCCATGTGAGCGATCTCGCGACACCGCCAGGGTGCGCGAACTCGCCATCGCTCGCCTGCCATGTCGATCAGTTGGTCCAGTTCGGAACTCGATGCTCCGATCAGTTCGCGTTCACCGGTCAGTTCAACTGAGTCCAGCGGCACATGAGTCACTCTGAGAGAGATGGTACCGTCGGCATTCGAAGAAGCGCACCCACGGGTCAGATGGTGGACCAATCATCAAACCTTCCAACAGATTGTCCCATCCAACTCCCATACGACCCCCAGCTCCCGCCTCCCATCACTCCAAGTCAGATTCAGATCAATTGTCGTGAAAAAAGGCTCTTGTGTGCCTTTACGGCGTTGCAAAAATGCAAGTCGCTACAAACGGCACTGTGTGCAGGTGCAAAAATGTAAGTTACATTTTCCTACCCCTGTTACCCTCCTAAATGCAACTTACATTTTGCATGAAAGGACCTTGGAAAACGTAGCTTCCATTTTCGAAGGTTCCCCCCCTTCACTAGGCGTAGAGATTTTACAGAATTCAGGTGGACTATGGCTTGGTTTGGCCATACATATCCCCCTCAAGATGTTTGGCTCAGATCCCAACTGGTGCTGTGACCACAAGTATTGGCCTTTTGAAGGGCCAATCCAGGCCGTCTTCAAAAAGTTGTGCCGCAGGCGAGTCCGCCAAAATAGCGCTTAGAACCATACCCAGACACTCCGTGTATGGAATATGTAAACCTACTTTGGTGGATTCGGGGGTCAATGTATTCAAATATGCCAGTCTCATCGGTCGTGTTTGGGACACCTAAGCTACATGCTGTCAGTGGATCACCTTTAACCATCTTTGACCTTGGTTGGGAATTGGTTTCTCAATGTTTCTCATGGTTCCTCCTTCTCTTCCTGAAGGAGTCAGCGAAGCTCGACCTTCGGTGATCGACCTTCGGTGACCAGTGGACCACTCCTCTCGTCCTGCCTGAATCGCTGCACAGATCGTCGAGCCTGGTACGGGAATCATGTCCGGGACGCCTGCGCCGAATGCGGGAAGGGAAGGACCCTGGATGGACGCGTCGTTGTGGTGAGTGTTGTTTTTGTCATGATCCGAACTTCGAACTATTGAAATCCCCAAGAACAGTTCGTGGAAAAGTCCCATGTCAACCGGGGGGGCATTGGCCAAGAGTTGTTGTCAGAATTTTGTCCAGCAACGACACGGAAACCACATAATTAGACCCTAATTATGATGGTATTCTTGTGGCAAATTTCATTTTGTGTGTCCCTCACGTCTTTGCTGGTCAGGATCTCTTTTGATTTCTTTTGAACTGTTGCTAAGCTGCAAAACTAACTTTGCTAGCGGCTATGACCTGGGCATGCACAGTTGGAAGCCGAGCAAGTGGACAGCCTTGCAAAGTTCTTGGATATGATATTAGCATCTCAGAATAGAGGGAACCCCGACCACCTCAAGCACAAAGTGTTCATTTCGTTTGAATGAAAGAATCTCCAGGATGTACCTTTTGGGCTATGGGACATGGTCGGATGGACATGCGCAGACAGGCAGACAGATTTTTTGTGGATCGTCACACGACCGGTGGTCGTTGAAAGGGATGCTCATCAGTGGGCAAATTAGGGAGCTTTGACCATGGCACGATCATGGCACTGATAGGCTCTCACCATGAATCAGATGTCCAGTCCATTGTGCATTGTGCAATACAGGTTGACCACACATAGTGGATCACAATTGTTGGCATTGTTCTCTTCGCTGGTATTTTTCTTTTCGCTGTCTGGTGCTGCACTTCCCCCAGGCACCGTGGAGGCTCAAAAAGAACCACCAGACAGAATGTTGTGGATCTTCCGTTGGTTCAATGAGATATTGGGGTTGGGGCAAAGGGGCTGGCCTTGTAATTTGTTCCCCTCGGCCCTCAGCCTGGCCGTCCGGTAAGCCCCCACCAAGCCCAACTGGAAACGCACGCCATTGACGAAACATTCTGTGAATACGCCACACTTGTTGGTAAAATGATGTCACATGAGGCACATGTGTGAGCTTTTTGTAAGACTCTTACACACAGACACACACTCTGAACGGTTTGTGTGCTTTCAACGGCAAGGGTCACTTCTTGACTTGGACGAACATATAGCTAACCCGCAGAAGCAGTTGGACCTGGTGGTAAGGAATCCCTGCCCCCACAAGTGGCGGGTAGTGCCAACAATTTGTGGCATTTCAAAAGGGGTCTTTCTGAGATCAGAAAAAGAGTTCATTCATGGTTTCAGTGGCTTTATCCAGGTTGCTTATCCCTTATATAAATCACCTGGTTGTAGTTGATATAAATATATATATATATACACAGTAATTGAAATTCATACCTAAACAAATATACTTTTGCTGCAATTTGTCAGGGTTCGTTGGGCCACCTTCTGCAACACGTGCTTCGCGCTCCCGCCGACGGTCTCCGGTCCGACCATGTGGACTTGCACGCGCGTCCTGTGCAGGTCCAAGTTCTCTCAGAGGCCTTCACTCAATGCCAGTGACCTGGATGGAAGTTACACCCCCGGATCCCGACGATCCCGACGAGATCCCCTCAGAAAGAACGACGGAACACCCGTGGTTTCGATCGAACTGGGGGGGGGGGTCCATGTGGTGCAGGAGGGTAAGAGCTGAAGAAGGCACGCAGCTGCCTCTGGGCACCCAAAAGAAACAGCTCAGTCTCTCTCAGTCTATCACAGGTCTACTAATTACATCCCGATTCCGAATTGCCACTACAGAAAGAACCGGAGTTGTGAGTTTTTCTTTTTCTCAACGCTTTGATTCGACTTTTTGGCCGAAAAGACGGCCTGTAAGCCATGCCATTCTAGGCAGATGAATTGCGACTGATCCATGGGGGGGCAGGTTTTATGATGTTTTTTTAGTCAACCCTATAATGGCTATTGCAGAACGTACAGTACCCAGCACGTGCATGCAATTTCACTGACATGTTCCTTAAACTTAATCCTTCTAAAATTCCCCCTGGCCTACTAAGTCCTTCATTCAGACCATGGACTCCCATCATTTCAGCATTTCTGTATGACACCCTGGACTCGGCTCCACAACCCCAACCCCCCTGGCCTCCTGGCCTCGCAGAACGGAACGGAGGTCTCCCGCCGGACCCGGCGGCGACGCGTCAGGCGACATCCGCGGGAAGACCGCCTTGATCTTCGCTGCGAGCTACGGACACCGCGCGGCGCGGTCTCTCCACCCGCGCGAGCGCCGCGGGATCGGCGTTCGACCCGTCCGATCGATAGAGATCGTGGGAAGACCAAAAGCCATCGTCCGACGAACAGTTTAAAACACTAAGATCACGTGTCACGAAAGCTAGCTTGCAGCTTTCGTCACCCACCCCCAACAACGTGTCTGATCCCTTCCTGATTGGATGAGAAGGCGACATGCATCGATTGAAGCGGCTATGACATTCGTTCGGACATGACCCGAACACCGAGCACGCGATATCGACAGACATGGGCCATGGGCATCAACGGGCTTCGGCGGAGCGTGGGATGTCCACCCGAGTGACTGTTCGAGTCAAGTGGTGCATGGAGTCCCTGGCAGAATCTTTTGTTTCATGAAACATGCACGTCTCATGTACCTCTGATGTATCTAATATGTTCACCCTCTTTTCACTCCACTCAAAACTGAAGATCTTCTGACTCACCCATGTCACCCACAGTTGAAAAACTGATGCACAGGTGGTTGACTACCTGCTGAACAAGTACAAGGAGATCGAGGTGAACGCTGTGGACGATACCGACAAGACAGCCCTCCACCATGCAGCCAGGAGGAGCGAGCCCGACCCTTCGACGCGTCGCATGGGGCACTCTTACGACCAGCGGCTACAAGGCTACCCTCGTCGCCTCGAAAGCTCCACGAAGCCATGTGTCAGTTCTGATGGTTAGGAGGTGTTCACTGGTGTGGTGCCATCGATCTTTTTGACGACACTCCATGGGACTGGAAGATGTGCCGCCCCATTGACCCCGGGTCAACCACCCCAATGTATGTAAATATTCCCATACATGGAGCGTTTGGGTAAGGCATATGAGCCTATCCAAGTTTTTCTGTGAACCTGTGGGAGGCATTCATTGGTGTTTCAGAAGTTTCACCCCTGTCCCAAACATCGTGTTGAACAAGAAAACAACTTGCACTCCCTGGTTGAAACAATCACGGCCCCGATTTCAGATGACCATTTTCCGAACACACAACAGGTGGTGGGAAAACACAGATAACCATGATGCTTCCAGGGTAGCTTAGATGAGCTTCGTAAACAAGTTTGATAAGCTTGGTCACAGGTGTTCATTGGTGTTCCTCGCCATTTTCCCACCACTTTTGAGGAGTTCCACAGATGATGAGAGCCAGGCGAGACACCCGAGATGGGTGGAGTGGATAGGGTTCCTGAGGCAAACTGACTGAGGAGTTCCCACAAATCTGCGTGAAGAAGAAGGCAACTCAAAGAATGGACTTTGACTGTCCATCTTCAATATTGTAACATCCTGGTCAACCTGAAACAAGGTCCATCTTGATCCCTGGGGCCGGCATGTTCTCAAGCCCCAAAAGTGTGGCTGCATGACTCGAAGTCGATGCCCTTTGCTCCTAGTAGCAAGGCTAGGAGCCCCTAGTAGCGTCGTTGCTCGTAGCAGCGATGCCAGGAGCCCCTAGTAGCTTCTTTCACTTGAGGAATGGGATGTAGACTTGCCTGGCCAGGCGAGATGAACATCAGGTTGAACCATTGGATAAGCTCCATACAGGTCCATACAGTTATATAAGGTCTGTCCGAACTTACCTGTAACAGTCAGTCAGTAAACAATTATCAAGATTCTTAAACAAGGCCTTTACTAACCGTCATCATCCACTGCTACTGATAATAGGATAGGGATTCGTGCAATATATTGCTTGGGATTTGGAAGGTATATCTGGAGAACCACAGCGTTTTTTTTCCCGCCGAACAAGAGCAAGTTTTGGCGAGTCGCTGATCAATCCGTGGCTTGAAGCCTGGGCTTCGAAGATCAGACAGATTCAGAAAGGGTGGATTGGCACAAGATGGCACAAGCAACACAACCAGCTGCAAGTCAGAATAAGTAGGACTTCTCAGTCTCACCCAGTGTAGCAAAGACTTCATGAAGCCCAGACGTGTGGCCCCAAACCCTCCGTCTTGGAGGGTTGTGTCAGGGCCTGTCAGGATGGTGAATGTTGTGATGGCGGGTGCGAGGAATCCTTTGGTTTTCTCCGTTTTAACTGAGCTGCATCCCTTCTCGAGTGGCCCCTCCCCAAAACCGCCCAAACCGGGCGTTCGTTTGCCTCCAGCCAACTCGCTCACGGCGAGCTCCGCGAAGTGCTGGAGCAGCGCTCCGTCGGAGCAGGCAGACATCATCAGCAGTCTCTTGAACGCCAAGGCCTACATTGAGGCTGGCGTTCCGGGTTCGCCGCAGGGTTTCGAGGATCGATATTTGTTTCTTGGCGCTTTCCGGGACGAAGAGAACTTGGCCACGAGGGAGGATGGAGTTGTTCAGGAGGATTCCTCGCGCACGCGGCATTGATTTAAGAGTTTGTTATTGTTAATTTCTGTGAAGCATTTCATTTGAGCCTTTGAGCACTCGTTCACCGGCGGCCGTTCTTTTGGACCAACACGGGACCATAGCGGATCCCTTGAGCGTGCCCTTTTTCTGAGAAAAGGCGTGCCGGCCTTTTGCACCTTTCCGTGCACCGCCGTGTGCACAAGTTGGCACCGGAGCCTCACGAGGCCGGGGCCTTTCAGCCATGCCGAATGCGAGCGGCATGTGGTTTCCTCAGCTACGCCAGGACTTGTCGGCTGAGGATCGATCCGAGCCCTCATTCGATGAGCTCCCTACCACCCTGCGCCCAAACGGTCGAGCTGACGAGCCACTGGATGGAAGGATAGCAGGTCACATAGGTGGTGGGCTTCCTTGCGGTCCCTTTAGCGGAATGACTGGAAAAGGTCATGACCCTAGGTTGACCGCCCACGGACCGATGCCTGACATGATGTTTCGAGATGTCTTCACACCTCCACAAGCTCCCCATGTGTTTGAGCAAGCTCCTTGCGGGTACGCCAATAGCCCTTTCCAGTTCCACTTCATGAGGCCAGGTGGAAGAGGCCATGTACATGAAGGCTTCACCCCGTTTGGACTTCATGCTGAACACCAACAGCGCCCTGGACCCCTTCATGGTCACGAAGGCGCAGTGCTGGAAGACCCATGGGCATGTTTGAGATGCAACTCACAAGAGCACATGTGGTCCGCAGCTGTGGGCGACTGGAGATGCAGTATGTGTGGACACAATGAGTTCTACAGGCCCAACCAACCTAGAAGGATGCAAACCGATCATGGAACATGGATGTACATTCCCAACGGACCACCTGACAACCAACCAGAGCGTCACGACCGAACTCCCTCAGAGAAACCACCTTCAGGTTCATCGTCTTCTACGACTCAACATCATCGTCGAAGGCGACGCCGTCGACATCATCCAGACGGTGATCCGGACGGTGATGACGGAGGCGATGGCTTTGAACCTGGTGAAGAAGAAGCCAGGACTGATGATCCATGCCTTGAACCGTCAGAAGATGGTCGGAGATCACATCTCTCTGATCGACTTGGTGGCAATCACCCTGGAGGCAAGGGACCCGGACGTGGCAACCAACCTGGAGGTCACGGCAGGCGGCCAGCAGGTAATCAGGCTGACAATGGTCCGCCGAGAGATGCTGCAGCTGATCTTCTGACGGCACTTCAACGACTCCTACAGGAACGTGGCAATAATGCACAGCGCTCCAACTCCAGTTCCAGCTCTTCGCAAACATGGAACTCACTGAAAGGCATGCAGCCTGGTGTCAAGTACCGTGGAGGAGCTCCTCCACAACCACCGGTGTGGCACTACACCAGTGGGGACGTTCGCGCTTTTGAACGTTTTGAGAAGAAGGTCAACATTTGGGCTCTCCAGGCCAAGCACTACATGAGCAGCTCCGAGGCCGGACTGGCCCTGTACACATCTCTGAAAGGAGATGCTGAGGCCGAACTCGAGTACGTTGACATCGAGAAGGTCTACAGCAGAGATGGAGTTCAGTATGTGCTTGACCAGCTTCGTGGTCCCTTCCAGGAGAAGCCCGTCTACATCAAGCGGCAATTCCTTTTTGAGTATGAACAAGTCTCAAGAACTGCAAACGAGAGCATGCGCAACTACACGAACCGATATCGCCGCATAGAAGCATCACTTCGTTCGGTGGGAATAGATGTCTCACTGACATACGACCAAGAAAGCCGCGGCAGCAGGTTGTTGGACAGAGCCAAACTGTCACCAGAGGCTCAACGGCTCGTGTTAGTCGGCACGGGCCAGCGGCTCGACTTCGACTCGGTGAAGAGCGCATTGCTCATGCAGTACCCCGAGCACAAGGCACCTCCACCTCTTTTTGTCCATGGTCAACTTCAACACCGGCCAGGCAAGGGGCCGAGCTATGGCAAAGGAGGAGGCAAGAGTTTTGGTGGCCAATCAGGCCATGGTTTTGGACAAGCACGCAAGGGCAATGGCAAGTTCACGAAGAAGGTCTTCCAGACCACAGCCGAGAGCAATGCAGAGTCGGCTGAACAAGACGATGACCCTGGCGATGATCTCAACGCCATTGAGGAAGAAGACCAAGAAGGCGAAACTGCTGATTTTGATGAACCGCCACCAGAAGAGTTAGCGGTTGACAATGAACAACCAGAAGGCGACGACCCCGACATCGACAACCTGACCCAGGTGCTCACTGTGACCGCCAAGAAATTGGCAGCAATCACCTTGGGAAGGAAGTGGTCAGGGCAGCCCTCAAAGAGCATAGCAGAGCGGAAGAAGACCAGCTGCTGCGCCGTGTGTGGCCAGATGGGTCACTGGAGCGGTGATTCAGAGTGCCCTGGAGCTGAAGGAACAACCACAAAAGGTGGCAAAGGCAAATCCTCGAAGGGGAACGCCAAAGGCTCCAAGGGTGGCAATGGACCATCGTCGAGCGGCAAAAAGGTGTTCACTGTCAGCTATGGCAACGGGGTGGACCATGACGTGGAGTACCTCCCCGAAGATGAACCTGCAAGTTCACAGTTTGTCCTCACCAACCATGTCCTCATGAACCACATCACCCAGTCATGTTTTCTTGCAGCCACTGAAGCCACGGGGTACATGGTCATCGACACGGCCTGCCAACGTTCATGCTGTGGGTTGGAGTGGTACCATGAACATGCTCGTCACCTCGGCACTTTTCACCTCCACCCCTTCGAGATGTCCAAAGAAGAGATTTTTCAGTTTGGTTCAGGCAGCCCTCTCAAGTCCAAGACCCTTGCAATGCTTCCCTCAGCCTTCGAAGGTGCGATTTGCCTCGTTTTGGGATCGTATGTTTTGGAGGCCTCAATACCCTTTTTGGGAAGTCTCGCAACCATGAACAAGCTCGGAGCCGTGATCGACCTTCCTCAGCAAGTTGTGTTTTTGAGCAAGTTTGACACGTCAGTGCCTCTTGCAGTTGTCGGTCGCCACCTCGCCATGAAGATCACACAGTTTCCCCCAAAACCTGAGAGACTAGCAGTGTGGGCCAAAATCACAGAAGCTGGACTCCTTGATCCTGAAGTGAATCTACCGCCCTCCGCTGTCCAGATTGCTCAAGCTCGCCGGGACGTCACCTCGCTTGACTGCATCCTGCCTGATGCACCTGGGAGCACAACAGCGCCGAGTGGATCGATGGCGCCGACTGGTGGAGAGACTCCTCGAGACAATCCGCCAGGCCTGGCTGACACTTCACACGGCATCGAGACTCAACATCGTGGACACCGAGAAGGAGCCGGACGAGGACAAGGAGACCTACAAGTTGGGAGCTCGCACCAAAGCTGCCGCAAAGACCAAACCAAAGACCAAGGCTATAAGCTCGAAGGCGGCTGCCTTCGAGTACAAACAGCGGCAGATGGAGGAGTGCAACCACCCGACGTTCAAAAGGCACGGAAATCGCCACGGCAGTTTCGCAACATGCCAAACGTGCCAGGCCAGATGGAAGTGGGTGGAAGGCGGATGGAAGTTGCATGGTGGCTCATCCAACTACTCGCTACCGCTGCCATCGTTCTTAACAACGACGGATGGCAGCATCAGGCCACCGCCTCCAATGCAGTACCCATCCATGACCGACTACTACATGCAGTACCATGCCCCAGCTCCGGCAGCAGCATCATCACAGATGCCCTTTCCACCGCAGGCAAGACAGTCGGAGGGCCCGGTTCCCACCACGATACCGGGAGCACCTTCACAACTGCCACCACCTCAGGCCATTCGCATCATGGAGGTGGACAAGGAAACCTGGACTCGAGCGCGGCCCGTTTCGCTGACATCATCAGTGGCAGGCCATGGACTTCAGCCGGACGAGATCCAGGACTACGACGAGGAGATGGTCAACAGCAAGATGGAGATCCCAGTGCCATCAGGGGCATTCACAGTGTCGGACGGCAGCTTCTACCATCTGGGCGGAGGAAAAGATTGATTGGAAACATCAATAAAGAGGTCTACATGCTTGAGTCCGAGATAGGTGCCATCAACAACCTACCAGGCGACATGGGCAAGGACTTCAACATTGACCTCATGGAGCTATTCGCTGGGACCTCAAAGCCTACCAGCATGGCAAGACGATTTGGACTGACTGCCCTTCAGCCCTTCGAGATTGAGGATGGCTATGACCTAGCGTCCAAGGCCATTCAGAAGACCGTCGACTTTGCCCTGAACAAGTTCAAGCCCTTGCTGTTGATGGTTGGGTTCCCGTGCACTCTCCTGTGCATCATGAATGAGAACCTCAACTATAGCTCACGAATGGAAGAACTTTGGGAGCTGCGAGAACTTCAGAAGCCTTTGCTGAAATGGGTCCTCAGCAAACTTGAGCAACAGCTCAAGCAGGGACGCCTCATCCTGCTCGAGAATCCTCTCCGCAGCCGACTCTGGGAAGACCAGACCTTGGTTCGCCTCATCACCGACTACAACCTTTACATCATCAAGTGCGATGGAGGCTACTTCGGAGCCGTGGACAACAAGGGCAACATGACCATCAAGACCTACAAGCTGATCACCAATAGCCAGGCGATCGCTGAAGCGCTTGGACATCAGCTTTCCAGCGAAGAGAGAGCACAGTGCACACCCTTGGAAGGAGCGAATGTCACTCGCTCTCAGGAATACCCCACCGAGATGGTGGAGGCATTGTTGAAAGCACTTCAGAAAGAAGCACGTCGCTGGAGTGCACATCGTTTTGAGCCAACACCCAAGGAGGTTTTCTTTGCACAGCCAACCGATGACGAGCCCACTTGGCGCCGCCTTCTTGAAGAAGTCGATCAAGTGTTTCGACGTGGCTCGGCACGATCTCTGACACTACAACCTGGTCATGATCTTTATGACCGCATCAGTGCACTGATCCCTTGGGAGATTGGCAGAATTCAGATCGCAAGCAAGCCTGTGACCAGGCGACAGCCAGGAGAGCTACCTCACACGCATCGAGGCAACATCCTCCTGCACAACGATGACACCATCTCCATCGAAGTGGAGGATATGGTGGTGAACCAATTTCCAAAGCAGAGGTTCGACAAGCCAGTGAGGGCAGCAATATTTTTCTACGGATTTGCAGCTGCCGATCAGCCCGAAGAACAACAACAGCAGCAGCGAGATCCACCTGTGCATCTTCCAGTGCCAGGACTGTCCACAGACATCACGTTTGTTGGCGCCCCACCGACTTTGCCAGCCTCAGTTCGAGCATCTCTTGCACGGCTTCACATCGGAGCCGGACACCCAAACAAGCAGGAGACCATCAGACTCCTGTCAATGCACGGCTCCATCAACGCAAGCGTGTTGACGGCCTTGGAGCACATGAAGTGCGGGTCATGTGAACGCAATGCTCGACCTACACCACCAAAAGCAGCAGCAGTCCCACACTTCAACGGCCAGTTCTCAGAGAGGATCCAGGCCGATATCTTCTACACAAGAGACCTGTCCGGTGGCAATCACCCAATACTTGGAGCAGTCGACATTGCCACCAACTTTCAACAGGCAATCCGCCTGGTGAGTTTGAATGCACAGCATGTGTGGGACAGTTTTCGAACCATGTGGTTTCAACCATACGGGTACCCCCTGATGCTGGAATTGGATGCTGGAACACCCTTCTCAGGTGTCTTCAAGGAGCACAGCATTGCAGCTGGAATCCATGTGGTCGTAGTACCACCAGAGGCGCATTGGAGAATTGGAGCTGTCGAACGACGCAACTCAGTCCTTCGAACTGTCGTGGAAAAGCTTGTTGACAACCACGGCATCGTCAGTGGCGAAGGGATTGACTTCGTTTTGGTGGCAGCAACACAAGCCATAAACAGCGCCACAGCAACCAAAGGACGCTGTCCATACCAGGCAGTGTTCGGCAAGCTGCCTCGGTTTCCAGGCGACCTGCTTGGAGACGAACACGCCTTAACAGTCAGCGACCGATACATGATGGCAGAACAACTACGAGTACAAGCCCTGCACGCAATCAATGAGATGCGAGCATCACAGACCATCAGACGTGCCATCCTCAGGAAAACACCACCAAACAAAGCAGAAGCACAACAAATCCTACCAGGAGCACTGGCAGCATACTGGCGTTGGAGCAAAAAGGCCTCCGGCAAGAAACGTGGAGGTTATGCACTCGGACGACTTGTCCAGCACGACGCAACCAGCAACACAGCATGGCTCCAGACAGGCGGCTCCCTGGTCCAAGTGACCTATGAACAACTCCGTCCAGCCTTCGGACTCGAGGGTTGGGTACCATCACATGAGGACATCCGATGCCTTAAGGATGCCCGGCAGCGCCTCCAAGATGGCCTATGGATCGATGAAAGGGGACAAGGACCACCAGATGATGAAGCATTGAACCTTCAATGGCACCACAAACACCTGGCGGCCCTCCTGATCTAGTACCACCTCTGGCCGACATCGACATGGCACCACCTGCTCCACAAGAGCAAGCACTACGTCTACCAATACAAGCAATGGCTCCATAGGCATTACCTGGACATCAACAAGGACAAGAAGCAGTGCTCAAGAAACGGGTGATACCAGCCCGCAATGCCTACCGGGACAAGAACCGCGGCGCAGGTCCTGGCATCGAGGACATCATTGCCAAACCGCACCGTGATCCTGGGTCACCATGACCCCGACCTGGCAAGCTTAGGTCGTGCATCACCAACTCCATCCAAGTTCTCCGAGAGTGTCCTCTTGCAACTGGCATGCAGCGGCCTCAATTCCAATGTAGAGAACACCGGAAAGAAGTGGCATCTATGGGCTGGAGATGTGAAGACGGCGTTCCTTCAAGGAACACCAGAAGCCCGACATGAGCGCCTATGGATGCGACCGCCACGAGATGGCATCCAGCGCCTCGCAAACACGTTTCCACATCGCCTCTACCTCATCCAAGGTAACCTCTACGGCTTTGCAAGCGCACCCAAGACCTGGAGCACACATGTCTGCAAGATGCTCCTGGACATGAACCTGACGCAACACAGGTATGACAAAATGATGTTCTACAAGAGAGACCCACATGGTCACCTCCTTGTCCTCCTCATCGTCCACGTTGACGACTTCCTAGTGACGCACCGAGAGGACTTCAACATGCAGGAAATCAAAGATGCATTCCAGTGGGGCTCACAGACACCATTGGACGACAACAACGAAATCATCTTCCGTGGCAAAGAGATCAAAATGGTCAAGAAGGGAACCAACACCATCTCCCTGCAGGTCACGCAGACCGCCTTCATCCGGGAGATTGACGACAAGCCAGTGACTAAAAGGAGCAAGGAACCTGTTCCCCTCAGTGCTCCCGAATGGCAAGAGTTCCGTTCCCTCACGGGAAGCCTGCAGTGGTTAAGTGGGCAAACACGCCCGGACGTGGCAGCCATGACCAGCTTGAGCAACAAGGGTCGAGAGACCACCACAAAGGAGCTCAACGACCTCTGCGAGTTCGTCAAGGTCGTCAAGATGACCGACACTCTTGGCTTGAGCTACTACCCTGTGCCTTGGAACAAGGCAATGACGCTGGTCGGCTACAGCGACTCTTCATGCGCAAATGCCCAGGGACACAAATCCCAGATGGGGATTTTGGTGCTGGTGAGCTCGCCAGACTGCGAGCACAAGAAGTGTCCAGCTTCGCTGCTGGATTGGAAGTCGACAAGGTCGCCAAGAGTGACCAGAAGCACGTTGGCATCTGAGGCCAACGCCATGGATGAGTGCACCGACAGGTGCAGCTATGCAAACTACTTCCTGACCCACTTGATGTACCCGGAAGTGGAGAAGGACGCCATGAAACTGAGGTTGCTACAGGCAACCGACTGCCGTAGCCTCTACGATGCCGTGATCAATCCGGCTCCAGCTTTGACTGAGAAAAGAACCATCATCTCAGTCCGTAGCATCCAGGACTACCTGACCGAAAGTCAGATCAGGTGGGTTCCGACCCATGCAATGTGGGCAGACTGTCTCACGAAAGTGGATGCAGTGCTGCTGGAGCAGTTTCAAAGGTGGCTCCGTGCACCCTATGTGCAATTGGTGGCCGGTGAACAAAAGAAAAACACGAGTGTTAATTTCTGTGAAGCATTTCATTTGAGCCTTTGAGCACTCGTTCACCGGCGGCCGTTCTTTTGGACCAACACGGGACCATAGCGGATCCCTTGAGCGTGCGTGCCGGCCTTTTGCACCTTTCCGTGCACCGCCGTGTGCACAAGAGTTATCGAACAACATTCGAGCAACCATTGTTTTATACTAAGTTTAGACCACATCACCAGCTCAACTTTGTATTCAATGGTCTTGCCTAGGGGTACCATGAAGACTTTGCTGCTGCGCAGCATTTCTTTTTGGGCGCTCAGAGATGCAAAAGGCAACCTAGCACACCCAAATGACCTCACGTTTCGGTGCGAAAGTCTTGGTCTGACCGCCAGCGTCTCCACCGGGGGTCCGGAGGCTCGGGACCACAACGGCTGCACCGCCTTGATGTTTGCCGTGGCCAACGGAAACGAGGCGCGCGGCGGGGCACGTCCGTGTCCACCGGGGGGTTCACCCGGGTGAACCCGAGCGTCCGCGGGGCTGGGTCCGCGTGGAGGACGGTTTGTGCGGCGGGGGAGGGTTGTGGAGGTGGAGAGAGCCGTGGGCGGCGTGAGAGGCCGTTGTTGAGGACTGCCAAAGCAATGAGTTGTTTCTGTGAGAGATCGGAGTTTCGGACACTTTGGGTCTCCTTTTTTATGTTCCCAGTGGATCCCACGACGTATACCGTATACCGTATACCAGATAAGTTACATATAAGGAACCAGGCTTTCGCTTGGTCTATGGTTTTTGTTCAACTGGAACCGCTATGACATGACACCACTGCGACTCCCAAGCGAATTAGTGCTTTAGCCTCACTTCACTAGGGTTGCTTTGCGTTGGGTCCCCAAATGGTGGGTTTGGATGATTCCGATGCTTTCTTTTTTTGTTTGGGATCCACCGGATCAGACCCTGGGCTTCGAAGTCAGCGCCCGAGGCCATTACCCGACGCTTGATCCTGGCACAGGCCAACGTGAACAACGTCCCTTGGTGGGATGGATGGATGGAACCACGCTTTCAGGTGCATTGAGGTAGCTTGCAAGCTGACACAACAGTCGGTGCGAGATGGATTGCATGGTTTGGCACAGTGCAAATTTGGAATTGGTGATGTTTGGTTCAGTGGGTTGTGATGCGGAAGTGCTACTGCTGGTGGAGAAACATTGTCTCGTAACACCTCTGAAGCAGTGTGAAATGTTATGCAAGTAATAGCTGCCAATTGATCCAGCTTGAAGTCCATCATATCATTGCATGGCCGTGTACCAGACCAGGGTCCCCAACCAAAGAGTTTGGGTTTATCTATGCGTTTTTAAACCCCGGGGCACCAATACAAATGAGGAGTTGTAGGGTGCTTTGAGCTGTACTCCTCATTTGCCGGCTGAAGACTATGAATTACATTAATAAATATATATATATATGGTACCCCCCCCCCCAAAACCTATGTTCACATCACTTTTGCTGGTATTTGCAATATTTTGTGTCTATTTTGGGTTGCCTTTTGATCCTTGTTTTTTTTTGGGGGGTACCATATATATATATATATATTTGTGCACGTAGGTTGCATGACTTGTTTGTTCACTTTGGAAGGAATGCAATCAGAATGAGAGAATGCCAGAGAATGCATTCCTGCCCAATACCAAGACCAAGACCAAGATTTGCACAGAAGTCTTGTGGAAAATCTTGGAAATACCAAGACCAAGATCCAAGATTTGGAAAATCTTGGAAATACCAAGACCAAGATCCAAGATTTGGAAAATCTTGGAAATACCAAGACCAAGACCAAGATTTGCACAGAAGTCTTGTGAAAAATCTTGGAAATACCAAGACCAAGATCCAAGATTTGGAAAATCTTGGAAATACCAAGACCAAGACCAAGATTTGCACAGAAGTCCTGTGGAAAATCTTGGAAATACCAAGATCCAAGATCCAATTCCAAGATTTTTCACAAGACTTCTGTGCAAATCTTGGTCTTGGTCTTGGTATTTCCAAGATTTTCCAAATCTTGGATCTTGGTCTTGGTATTTCCAAGATTTTTCACAAGACTTCTGTGCAAATCTTGGTCTTGGTCTTGGTATTTCCAATATTTTCCAAATCTTGGTCTTGGTCTTGGTATTTCCAAGATTTTCCAAATCTTGGATCTTGGTCTTGGTATTTCCAAGATTTTCCACAAGACTTCTGTGCAAATCTTGGATCTTGGTCTTGGTATTGGGCAGGAATGCATTCTCTGGCATTCTCTGGTAGTGACAAAATTGCACTAAGTACAGTTTGATCCTGGAATATTACTGATTACCGACATTTGTTCCTCATTCAATTCTAATTAACAACTAATTCAACTCTAATTTACTTCTCTGAATTTTAGTGCACATACAATTTAACTAAATTCTAAGTCAATTCTTATTCCAATTTAAAATCACTTGTATTTCTATTTAAATTTCCAAGTTGAGTCTACTTGAAGTCTAATTGAACTTTAAATGGATTCTAATTTGAGTATGTAACATAGTTCTACTTTAATTTGAGTATGTAACATAGTTCTACTTTAAGCCTAAGTTGAGCCTAATTGAATTCTAATTTAAGTCTATTTAGCTTAACTTCATTGTATAGACAAATTCTAATTCAGTTTTTATTCTAATTTACTCATTTCTATTTTAATTCTAATTATGTTTGGCTATTTTAGATCTATATAATGGAATTCAATCTTAAATCTAAATTTGAATCTGCAACGTGCTTCTAATTTAAATAGAAAATGATCCTACTTGAACTTTATATAATTGAAATCAAATTGAGATTGCAAATTAGATCTAGTTCAATTCTAACTGAACTTAGATTCCAATTTAGTTCTAAGTTAATACTGTTCTACTAACCAAGCTCTAGGTAAAACAACTCTAAATCAATTCCACCTTAGTTCTAAGTCAATTTCAATTTAAGTAATGGATTAATATTCAATGTGTTTCTTTCAACTCTAATTTAATTCCAGTCCACTGTACTTCTAATTTAGTTCTATTTCATTCTATTTTGGGTTCAATTGTAATTTTGACTCTTCCAATTTACTAGTAATTAATTTCTAATGTTAATGCCTTTATACGATTCAGATTCAATTGTTTTACACATCTAATTTTACACTATTGTCATTGCAAATTAGGTTTGGTTTCTATATGTCTAATTTCATCCTATATTGATTCTAGTTCAATGCACATGGACTTCTAATTCAGTTTTGGTGTCATTCTAGAGAGTGGGTGTTGCTGGTGGTGAATTTAATTCATTTAAGAAAGCACATTCTTCTATATTGGAAAAACTACATAAAATCTCTCATGTTCAAAGTAACACCACTTCTCTAGAAGAAGTAAATGAGAATTTCATTCAAATTAAAACTAAATTGAAAAAGAATACACTACTAGAATTGAATCTGACTTGTATAGCAATGAAGTTAGAACTAGCTTGAAATCAAATTAAAATTAGGCTTGCATTGAATCCCAAGTAAATTAGAATCTATAGTAAATTCGAATCTATATTTACAAATAATTGAAATAGACTCAAATTTGAATTTGAATATACAAAGTAGAGTAGAGTTGAATATACAAAGTAGATTACTCCATCCAAGAACTGTTTAGTAAACTCACATAACCTTATGGATTTGGACATATTTGTAGTACATAGTTAAATGAACAAATATGCTTACCAACTGCACACTAGCGCTCAGAAACATAGGTTTTGGGGGGGGGGGGGGCGAATATATATATATATATATACTGTGTATACCTTGGTAGGACCTATTGTGAACCCTGGATGGAGCCTTGCCAAGCGCACTAAGTTCGACTATGAGAACCACTCGTGCCTGAACTATGCCACACAGTTCAATCAGACCAAGTTGGTGACCTGGCTGAAACACTCCGCGCACGACAGCTCCGCTTGACTCGCGGTCGACAGTCCCGCAGTTCGCGCGGTTGGAACGATTCCTGATTGAACTGCCACGTGTTCAACTTGCTTTCTTCTATAGATGCCATCAGGCACCCCTAAGCCCCCCAAAAGCGGTATATACAGACCTTGCGGAAGTTTCCCAACACGATCGGCTCGAACAGGGTGTCACCCTGTTCGGTTTGCGGAGCGGAGGGGTCGAGGGGTCGATGAGTCGACCCAGCCGAAAAAGGGGCGAGACCGGTCTCGCTATTGAAATACACATATGGTGACCTGACTTCACAGAACGAGGCCGGTAGACTGTATAGAAGGGAAGATGATGAGATGTGGGTTGTATTTCCGAATTAACAATTGCCATGATCTAGACCTTGAAGACTGCGTGGGACAACGCAAACCTTCCACATTCCATCCACTTGATGTCCCATCGGCGTGCACTTTCTTGCTGGTCCTCAGGTGACTTTGCTGAAGAAAGCGGGTGCGATGGATAAGCTCAGTCTGGACGATGAGGAGACTTTCAGATGTCAAAATCTTATGCCAGGAAGGTGGATGTCATAGAAATCATAGAATTAACTCAAACCCCGTGTGGGCTCCAGAATCAGAAACATACATCCCCCCAATTCAGGATAACAGGTGTCAGTCCATTGGTATCAATATTCAGTAGCCTGTCTGGGCCAGCCTCTTGGGCCCTTGGTCATGGTGTGCGTGGGTAGGGATGTTAGTAGCGATGCATATTCAGAAAGTCTAAGTTCCAAGGGCCCCAAGGAACTTACATCAAGATCATCAAGCAACTAACGTGACACGAGAAAAAGATGCCTGGAAGTGCAATTGTTGGACGAATGCAGACGGGGTTGGTTGTGCCACGACCATCGTGGCAGGAGGAAGAGGACGACGGCACAGCTTCTTCTTGCATGTCACCCAGCAGCCGGGAAACCATGGCTGTGTGACCCTGGTCGCGCGGATTGACCCAGTGCATGTGGGGTGCTGCTCATGCGGTGACTGGACTTTTTGCAGAGGGTCTTGGGTTCCTCAGTCCAGCCATGAAAAAGCCGCTCGAAGTTAAAGCACTTGATGCTTGTTGTATAGTAATCATAAACCATTTAAGAGCCACTCTCCAGTTCAATGATATCCGATTTTGGCCACTCATACAAGGGATGTTTTACTTGGTTGGCGCTGTAGGTAAGGTAACGCTAAAGCCAAACCTACATGTTTGCAAGACCATCCTAGGCCTATAGGGCCTATGAGCACTTTCACTGTTTAGGAGAGAATGGAGTGGGGTTATTTCCTTCACACCAAACTCGCAGCAACCAGCTGGTAGAGGAAAATACACATGACCAACCTTTCACAAGCTTGTTCTAGGGAACTTGTTCATGCTGAGTAAATCCATACTTGGTGTCTCAATCTTTGAAGGCTTAGAATGTCAAAATGTAGACGATGATATTCATCCTGCTTGGAATCACTTCTTGCCCCTCACAATAGACTAGGCACCTTTCTTTCGACACAACTGACACCAACAAGTGTCAAGACACTCCCACCCATCCCTTCCCATCAACGTGCCACCACGTCCGTCCCCCGTCCGGAACACTGTCCCCGTCCGTCGAGGCCGCTTGCAACTGCCTCGTGGTCTACCGGAGTCCGAAACAGCCTCCTGCACGGGCGCCCAGACGTGAGGAGATGCTGCAGACGTGCAGGCGCAGAGGTGCAGGGTCACATGGGGTGCGGGGGCTTGCTTGATGTGCGGTTATTTCTTTTTGTGGAAAAGAGAGGGCAAGAGGGGCTCATAGATGAAGTGAAAGAGATTGTTGGGCCTGATGGTGGAGGTTGTTCTAAGTGCCGGAAAAGGCAACAAGGAACTCTATACAGTATAGATTACAACAAAACATGACAAAGCGACGACAAACTAGTGGCCACACAAATCCTGCTTTGACGCGCACCCTTCCAAAGGTACCATCCACTTGACCTCTGACTCTGACCCTTCTTCACACATTGCATGAAACCCATGAATGAATCATCGGGAGATATCGGGAGAAGTGAGATCGCAGCCAGAAACCTGGATTCAGCTGCACGAAGGACACATCATTTGAAAGTGCAGGACATTAAGAGTCGATGGCCAGAAAGCTATAGACCACCTTGGACGAGGACCCAAGCGAACCACTTTTTGGTGCGGGGGGTACTATCATGTTGTATCTACGATCGAAATGGCCATTTGCCTTTCAATGAATGAGTTTACGGGAAAGTTTAGAGGAAATCATTGTTTTCACCCCTAAAAACTACAGAACAGGGGACCACGGTAGTACTTACACTTTTTTTCATTTTGTCTTATTTTCTGCACTGCACTCAACCACAATCATCATAATATCTGAATCTCTGCACTGCACTGCAGTCATGAACCACACAATCATCATATCTGAATCTCTGCACTGCACTTCTGTCAATAACCACAGGCAAAAAGATCCAACACTATTAACCCAATAGTCTTTGCTGCACCAACATCCATTGTTTTTTTGAATTACAATCCGAACAAAAAATAAAACTATATATTAATAGTCTTTGCTGCACATAGTACATCAAACTATCATAAACATATTTTGTAATATAGGTCCTTTGATAAACTATTGTAAAGTACAACAACAGGTATTACAAACATTACAACCTATCAATGAAAGAAGATATGATAAATTAATGTGTATCATTGAAAACATGTAAATGAGGTAGACACATATGAGTCATAGAGAGAAACAAGAAAAAACCCAATATGTACTTCCTCCCCAGTCCGCAGCATCTCAAACCGGGTTTCATCGGTTTCCAAACCGAGCCCATCGGGCGGTCCGGTCGGTCCCGAGGCGCGGAGAGCATGTCGACGGAGGCACCCGAGACGTCGCCCCTGTCGGCGGTGAGTGTGGCCCTCGGGGGGAGGCCATGGAGGCGGCACGGTTTATGACCCATTTGGTTTTTTGACAATCACATCTGGTATCTTCCAACGGTGTGGTGTTTGGTCTACCTTTTCATTACCAGAATCTCCGGCCAGTTCGGCCGAAACTTGGCATCGTTGGAAGCTGTGCAACTGCAGTTGCTATTTTTGTCAAAGCGTGTTGGTCCAGCAGAATCTGAATCTCACCCCCCGAATTGGCTGCGGGTCCGACAGAGATCCGGTGCGGAGATGACTGTCCTGGATGGGGGTCCAATCAGGTCCGCAGTGGAAGGATGCTGAGGATATGAGATGTGAATAGATGTTGTGATATATGCTTTTGATAGTGATGTGCTGCATTTATCTTGGACTTTTGGGGGGTGAACGAGTGGCCCGGAAAGAGTTCGTAAACTGGAGGGGGGGGAATATCACTATATTCCCCCAAGAGAAGTCTTATCTACTCAGGATGTCCATGATTCGCCAACTTGAGACCTATAGTTCCATGCTTCGCACGAGTTCCGCACCGATTGGTCCAGAGTTCGAATGGTCAGGGATCGTCTGGGTTCACCGAGGGCTCCGCGTCGGGTCTCGATGTGTGGTCAGAGGACCGGGTCCTTTTGGGATGACCGGTGACGTGACCGAACGAACGAGGAAGGGACCCATCGAACCGGGACCGGAGGTCTTTCGTTTGAGACCTAAAGCCCCTGGAGACTCAAAGTTGACTCGTGTCGGACATGTCGGTGGAGCTTGGCTTGGCAAAGCCCCTACATGGCACCGCCTTCAAGTCATGGAAGGCATCCAACGTGGTGAAGTCATGGAAGGCATTGAGCTGTTTGGACAGATTCTTTGAGCTGTTTGGATGCCTTCCAGGCATGACTTCACATGATCACCTTGCAAACCACACCTCACATATTTCGGCTCGCCCTCGTCCATCCTCCTACCATGGTGTTCCGAAATGTCACACGCAACCTGAGGTGGAACCACTGATGGAGAGGCGCACGGGACGCACGCCTCGACACGTGGACACCCGGTGTTGACTCTGTGGACCTCGTTGGCCTTTGTTGGTCCACTCTATTTGGATCATATTTGGATACCTGGATACCTATACCCAGTCTTTGGATCTTTATAGAACCCTTCTTAGGGGGTTGGGGACAAGAACAGGTTGCACCCCTCTATATGGTGGACTCTTGATTGATAAGCCATGCATATGAAGATTTTGTGGGTTCCACCTCTCTTGGGTCCATTCATGGGGGTCGTCGTCGACCGACACCCGTCGCCCCAGGAACTGCGGAACTGCACCGGTCGTCCGCGCGGTCGTCCGGACGTCAGGCGAAGAAGAAAAAGAAGAAGGTCAAGGCCACTCTTCAGCTGGTTGAGAGGGTGGGTGAGGGTTGGGGAAGGATGGGAAGGGACCTGTGGGCAGTCCTGTGGGTATCTTCATGGATGCTCGGTCTGGAGACTGGAATAGACTGGAAGAAAGCTCTTTCTTTGTTCGCAGATCCGCAGGTTAAGAAGTGCTGATCTACGACTTCTTGAATACAACGCTCTATATAGGAGGTATCAAAGAAGGAATGAATTCAGTTTTCTGGATTTGTGGCCACAAATCGTAGCTCATCATGCCTTTTTCATGCATGATGAGCAACGAATTCGTGTATTAAGAAAACGATCCAAATGTTTGGGTGAATCCGGAGAACGGCGGTCCATTCACCACTTCACGCCCGGTTCTTCACGTTTGGAGATCGGTCGACCTGACAGATCGAATCCTCGGGCTTTGCAGCAATCACGAGCGGAAGCAAACCTTCCATTTGAGGGTCGACGATTCTTGGGGTGCATGAATCTTAGTGAACCCTTCAAGGGTGTGTTGTTGATGGCGGAACTCCGTCTCCTTCTGTGTCCTATGGCCTTACAGTCATGATCTCAATCTTCATAGGTTGCTTTTGCGAATTGTAGAGTTCCTCAAAGCACGGGTTGGTGGGCTTTGGGCTAACGGCTAACGCTTTGGTCTAAAACCGATGGGCATGGCGACCTTTCAACACACACCGTGCACTGTGAAGGATTGGAACCCTCCATCTGCCAAGGTGCCCACGATATCCCAAACACCCAGCCATGGGGGATTCCGGTTTCGTAGACGGTCGGATTCCACCAGCCGAACGCCAACGCCGAGCGTCCCCCCCCGGCCCCCCCTCGGCTCGAGCCCGCCCAGCCAACGCCGCGCCAGGAGGGTGAGGGTGAGGCATCACCCAGCGATGGCGTCCGGACGCCCAGCCCCAGCGACCGTGCCGCGGTTTGCGGGTGGACGCCAAGTGGTGGGGTCACTGACACAAGGCCGTGAAGCAATTGAAGCGAGCACATGCTGATTTTCCGGCCATGGAAATTAGGGTGGGGAACCAACCAAAGCCTGCCGATATCCGAACTTGGTCCCCTCCAGTGCCTGTCAGAGAGGAGACTCAAGCCGCAGCTGCAACACTCACACTTTGTGATATATTGAAGCCATTTGACACCCATGTCATGGGGCAGTTCAAAAAATCCGTTGATACTCAATAAAGTTCAAGTTCAATAAAGTCCTTGATATGGGAGTCTCCAATAGTATTGCTGTGGTATCGTTGAATTGTCAGTTTTTGCGCTTTTTAGGGTTGCAGATCATCAATTGGGATGAACATCTTTGGCTTAAGGCACTGCGTTTCTGTAGTTACAGTGGTCCCGAAGTCCAAGATGATACTGGATGTGAGTGGGGTTTCTAAAGCATGCTAAGTCCAAGAATGAACCAGTCCAGTTGAACATCTCGGACGGATAGAGCATGCTCAGAACCTTTGTTGAACCCACTGCGAGGTGCATACAGAAATCCAGTTCTTGCTAGCTTGAAGGACCAGTCAGTCCTTTCAGTTCTTCCAGTGGACTCATACAGAACTTGAAGGACCTCCTTTCCGACTGAATTCTTCCAGCCCGTCGTTCCGCGCAAACGCTTGAACGCGCCCGAACGCGCGTTCGCGCGCTGTCTCGTCTCGTCCCAGACGAAGCGTAAGACGAAGAAGGCGAGATGGCTCGTTCGGCAGTGGTGGTGTGGAGGGCAGATGAGGGCAGGTCACTTCGGTACTCGTTGAGCCCGGGCCGTGGAAGGTCCCTTCTAGGTGGCTGCCGATCTGTGGCACTGAAGGTTTCTTTTTCGTTGGCAGTGCTTTGCAATATACCCTCCCGCACACTAACATGGAACCTGAGAATTGACCGGTGGAAGACCATTTTCCTCTACAACCCAGTGGTTTTGGGGTTCCGTGTTAATCTGCATGGGAGTATCATATACGGGACACACATGGACAAACAAAGCATAAATCACAGTTGTTAGTTAACACTACCTCTTGGAGTTTGTGCCATCTACTCTGAAACCACTGGACTTAAAACCACCTAGAGCTGTGTGAATGATGGCACCCCATACTTGACGCGTGCAAAAATGTTCAGCCGTGGCCAGACATGGTCGCATTTTCTTAAGGAAAACCGTGCGGTGAATCGGGCCTATGGAGGGAGCAACACATCCATTGTGGTGCGTTTTTGTATAGATTCGATGATCGTTTTGCTAACATTCCAGCAATACTCTTTGCATCGTGTTGGATCCCAGCCTAGTCAACTCTCTTGTTGCACGATCCTCCACTATGACTTCGGCAGGACACGATCCTCCTGGCTGTCTCAAGGTTTTATTTTTTTGTTTATTTTTTCTTTTCTGCTTGAGTGAAAGGTGTCCAAGCAGACTTGACTCGCGAGGCGGATGGCGAAACGGCAGAGAAGGGCACGAAGAAGACGAAGAAGAAGGCGTAGGGGTGATCAGCAGAGGGTTGGATGCTGGGCTTCAGCCCAGGAGGCCTACACTCCATGGAACCGTCATGGAAAGTCATGGTCCTCCACAATTGGGGCCATTTTCCCATCCACAACCATGATGATCTTCAGGGAGACCGGTCATGCATGGGAGCTGAATCAGGCTGAAGCACCAACCACCAGACACGTCTTGTCTTTCTCTTTTTGTTCACAGATATTTTTTGATTGTTGCGGAAATTGGGATCTAATCGAGGGAGACTTGGGATGAGCGGCATGTTCATCTCGAAACCCATGAGTATAATTGAGTATATATACAGATCATTATATATACACTGCATGCAATTGCCTATACCCCATGATAGCAAGAGCAACGTTCTTCTTATTGTCCACCTTGCACCTGAGAGCTTGACGACAGCAGGGTAGGCAAGTGTTGGGTTCATCGGACCGTCGGACAGTCGTGAGTGCAATAGCAGGCTAGGCTAAGCCGCGTGCATCATGTTTCACGTAGACATTGCACCCCCCCCAAAAAGGATATTGATTGACATTTGTTGGTCACGCGATGTGAACCGCGATGTTGCGCGAATTGCGAACCGCCAGAACCTCAAAGAGCCGATCCAATTCAGTGTGTTGCTATCATTTGCTATTCATTGTTCTAGTCTACCAAAACCGTTCCGAACCGCCCACTCTTGGGTCACTCGTCGTACTGTGCAATTGTGACGCGAGTGTGACGCTCGGCCAGGGGAAGACACCGGCAGGCTTGGGTGAGAAGGGGCTCATGGAGGCGAGGGCGGAAAGCACGTTGATGATCCATACAGAAACAGAGGTGGATAGTCAAGTGAAGCAAATTCCACCGGGTTCTCCCAAAATGTCCGCATGTTCTTAATACACTCACCTAGACTTAGGCAGTTCAAGCAAACTCTTTCTTTCGATCCGTTCATTCTGAGATTGGGAAGCTAGCACTGCTTCTGTCAGCTGTGAGCGAGGAACCACCACGGGAATTTCCATTTGTGATTTCTGCGGTCAGGCAGTGGCAGCACCAGAGGATACCACCATCACTGTGAGCGAGGAACAGCCGTGGAAAGCGCAAAGTGTGTGGGCTGATATGTGATAGGTTATGGATGATTATATGTACATCATTGCCAAAGGGGAGGGAGGTGAACATCAGTGACGTTTTTTGAGGGTAGGATACTTGTTGACAGTTGGTGTCGGGAACCTTTGAACAAACATGGTTGAACATGTCATTCACTCTTTTCCCTTAGATACTCCCACGATGCTCAGTGCTACCAGCATGGAGAAGGTCTCCAGGCGTTCCGCCCCGCTGGAAGGTTTGGACAATAGACCAGTCTATATATGTAGCTAGAAGCTACTAGGTTGAAGGCCATTGGCCATCGCTATTAAATAAAGGCCATCGCTACTAGTAACAAGGACGCTAGTAGTAGCTAGGGTACCCAGCCGATCGAGAGCCATCGGGGATCTACCCTACGCAAGCGCACGCCACTCCTGCAACTCTCGCATCCTACGTCTCCTCAGGGTCTAGAGACCCTTTTCTCAGAAGAGGCACAAAGACTCGGTAGTGATATGGGTTCCCCATGCCCTGTTGAGGTAGAGATTGCAATAGATCACTTTCTTGGGCAAAGATGGTTTGGTGGAAAGGAATGACCCTGTAGCACGGTTTGAGAGAGGTTGGCGTTGCGTTGGTCTTCCAGTTTAGGCCATGCACCTCTTGCACTGTTTAATCGAAGCCAGAAATAGCGGCAGGAGGGGTTCAGAATTCCACGACTCACATAGTGCTTTGTTGTCTTCCAGGACCTTCGAGTCGTGACCTCTTTGGAGCCTCTGTCTGTGACCTTTTACTGGCCTGTTCGTGACCTCATCCTGGGAGATCAAGTTCGGCCACTTTGAAGGTGCTGGTTCTTCTTTTTTACGTTTGATTTCAACCGATTCCGATCCATCGGTTTCTGCCTGCTCCCGTTGAGGAGCCAGAGAAGAAGACCGAGGCGACCGTCCGGTCGACCACGACCGGTGGACTCGACCAGTCCGACGGGAGATCCGGCGTGGTCGGTCGGCGTTTCGGTGTCGACTTGAGTCGGAAGAAGCCGGGCACCACTTCGACCAATCGAAACCGATCGAAACTAACCCACCATGGGCACCATGAGTCACTGGTGGAAGGTCACCAAAAGACCGTCTTGTTCGGTCACCGGGAAGGTCGCCAGGAGTTTGAGGCGGAGACCTCACCTCTTTTTGACCCTGCTGTTGTATAGGGATTGATGTTGGCCAGCAAGGCCTTTGGTACCGGCAAGATCCATGCTCCGTGCAAAGGCGTCAGACCCTATACTTTCTGTCAGGATCCAATGGTTACTGGTAGAAATTCTTGATATTTCTTGTATTCTTGGCGTAGACACCTTGAAGTTGAATACAGCAAAACGGCAAGGTGAGTCCGTTCCTGAAAAAAAAGGAACTCATACTGAAGCCTTTTTGTTGCTGGTTTAACAAGCAGAGAGCTTCACTTTCAATCACCTCAGCTCCTTGGTCCCCACCGTCCCCATGGCTCCCCACCGGGGCATCCGGGCGCATGCACCGGGTCCCGCACCGCACCCGCGCCGTCGGACGCAGGTCCCAGCGGTGCCAGATGGCCCCACCGATGAGGAGTTGGCCAAGGCGGCAGAGATCAAGAAGGCGCGTTGGACCATCTGGGAGACTAGAACACGCAACGCACGCACTGCCTGCGTGGGTCTGAAGCGACCGATGCTGGACCTGTCACGGCGGTCGGCCACGCAATTTCCCCAGGACCTCTTGTCTTGGAATTGTAATAATCATAAAGCTAATAAAGCCATATAAAGCCAAACATTAAGCCACATATAATATATAACATTATAAAGCCCTTCTATAGCCAACTTGTTTGATGGAGGATTTAAGAGCCTAGGTGGGAAAAATATAGTTCCTATTCACTTGGTTTTCAGGATGTTAGTTTGGTGCTTACTATGGTTGCAGTGAATAGGAACTATAGCTAATTGGATTGAGTTGATCTATAGAGGCGGCTCCCACTTGTTTGACCGACCTGCAGGTTCCGCAGGCATCCTGCAGGTTCCGCAGGCATTGGTGTAGCCTTCCTTTCACCAAGGGATCACTGGTGACTTGTCATACCTCCTGAGTCGTTTCGTTGGGACGACTGCCTGCGAAGACGACCTGTTTCGACTCAAACGATAGGACGGACCACGTATTCCATGTCGGTTGGAAGCAACATATTCCAATCGTCGAAAGGAACAGTGGAACTAACTAACTGAGCTATTAGGTGTTAGTGGGAATGGGAGTGAGGCTTTCCAACGACATTGGTGGCCCAATAGCAACAATGGGGCTCGGATGGCAGACGCCCCCAATCTAAGTGGAAAAATACAGTGAAACCACATGGAGCAATGTTCAAATGATTGGGGGCAAAGTGGATCGGACAAATACAACATGATAACTCATGTCAGAAAGCACGGACAAACTCCTGCATCGGCACTGGATTCACCACTATACTTGAAAAACAGGCTGATAGATGTCGGTTGGTCATCTCTTCTGTGACAACTGGACGTCAATCCGGTTCCCATTTTGGGGGACAAGGCATCGCATACGCCAGACGCATGCACATCATGTCGAATTCTTCCATCAAACGGTCAGTCAGATTCATGAACGCGACAACTGTGAGGTTCGATCTCGTCCAAACCTCGTCAAACCATGGGAGTTGGACATCGATCTGGCAACCTTCGGCTGGGTTTGACTCAGGGTCCTTGACGCGGTTTTGACCCACCATGTGACTCCTTCCCTTTCCAGGAGAAGGAACGCACTCTGAAGGAGCTGCAGGACGCCACGGCAGCGCTCGAGACTGCCAGGCTCGGACGAAAGCGCTGCCATTGCTTCACCATTGCTTCACCCCCCAAAAGAGGGGACAGGAGCTGAGCAGAGATGGGTGGAATAGTTGTTGTTCGGAGGAGTGGATTGGACGTGCTTTGTGAAGGAAATTGGTCACTTGGCGGGATTGAGCCAGGGACACTCGGACGGTCCATCATTCAGGTCCAACAGCGATGGAGAAAATCACCAACAGAACATCAGCGGCGTTGGTCTACCTTTCCCTGCCCCCGGGGCTCGAACAGCCAGGTCTGGGCCGTTGACGGCGTCGCCAAACAGCGCTCAAGCATGGACGACCTTTGACCATTGGTCAGACGGGACGATTAGCAGGGAAGAGGTAGGAGCAGGGAAGAGGTA